TAAGTCATATATTTACGTATATAACGTTAAGTCAACGGCGTTCATAAACACGCTGAAAGGCGATTATGCGTCTTGATAGCACGCCAAAAATGGAAATACGAATTGGCATGTCATACACACGCTACTTCATGAGTAAGTTTCTCATGCAGACCATGTCACATGTCCAGACCAACATCATCCTCAAATGGATTACGAGTTGGCTACAATTTACCCACAAAAAAAAAAAAAATGCTTTAAGCAAACGTGGCCACTGTTGATCTAAAACATGGAAATTCATTTTAAAAATGCTGCTACGAAATAAGTTGAGAACATTCTTTATTCATGCATGGCCACAAAATATATATTTTTTGAGTGAATTAGTATAACCACAATGAGCATCCTCTGACATTGCCTTAAACTTGGGCCTCCCTCCTCACTGTCTTTGCACTCTGAAACCTTAACCTCCAAATGTGAGAGAGCATTGAGATCAGAGCCTTTGGTCACCCGCTAGACCCGCTGACTCATAGCCCACGTGTGTCCGTGCCATTCGGAATTCCTCTTTTCACGTTTTCTTCTCTGCCGCTGTATGTCACGTATCTCCTCAGCTCTCCATCCGTTCCGCTCCACTGGCCACTGTACTACGCCTACAGAGAGCTCCCTCCATCTCAGCAGGGATTTCCCTCCTGTTTGATCCGGACTCTTTCAGCCCTAAAGAGCAAACAGTTTTGGTTTTTTTAACTCGTCGTGTTTATAATCCCTTAAGTACTTGTGCTTAATTGAAAACCCTTGGCCTTGATCACCCCTCTCAGCTCCTGCCCTCAGCACATGTCATTATGTATATTGTGAATCATGGCTTTCGGATTAATGATTCATGTCTGTGTTATTTTTATTTATCGTCACGGCTGGCTAGATGACAGAATGTGATCATGAACGTATCAGTTGACTCACAACGCAAAACAACAAGGGATGTGCAAAAGCATGTGGATGAGTGTTTTTGTATCATTTGGACTGCGTTTACAGTATATAGCGCTTTCAGTCTTGAAGGTCTCTAATAAACAGGGTAAATGTGTGCAATAACCCCCAAACGCACCCCTCGTAGAGTCTGCATGACACAGTCATGGTTTGTTGTGGTGGTTGTTTATTTCGTTGGCGTCTGCCGCCCTTATTGTCTGTGCTGCCATGGGGGCGGCAGTTATCTGATCAATTGCTGCTGTTTTTAGTTTGGAGCTCGGACAAAGTGACCCAAATTTACAGGTTATTGACGGTGCTGCCTGTCTGTAGTATTAAGGCTAGCTATAGCTTACCAAAACTGCAAGCAGTTTACATTTATTCATTTAGCTGACACTTTTATCCAAAGTGACTTACAATTCCTATAAATGTCAGAGGTCGCATGTCTCTGGAGCAACTAGGGGTTAAGTGTCTTGCTCAGGGACGCATTGGTGTCTCGAACCCTAGTCTCTCACACCAAAGGCATGTGTCTTATCCACTGCGCCATCACCACCGCAAATTATAATAGAAAAAGTAATCAAAAAAAAAAAAAAAATCAGATAAAGCAGACTGAATTTAATTGACTGTCAAGAAGTAGTGACTTTGATTCTGAGGACCCTCCTAAAATGAATTTGAATTGTTCTTGAATGAATGAGTGTCAGATTTAGGACCGTTGCTGTGCTATAATACAGCTTGACTGAGATGGTGAACCATCATAGGCGTATCTGACTTTAATTCTAGAGGTCAAGTGGTCAGTGAAGTGAAGGTTGGTACTGAAAGCATATCCTGACAGCACAACATTGATCATAAGATGAGTGTAGCCAATTTACTGTCTGCCGTCTAAATTATTAATCAGTGCAGTTATTATTTATTTATTGGGCACTGTCATGAATGGGTCTGTTGTGTTTACACATGGAGAGTTGTTTCACTCAGTAGGGTATTGTGTGGTGTTAGCCCTAGATGAAGTCAAGCTAGATCTTATTCTTATTAATATTGAAGGTTAAAGCTATAACTTTATTTTAGATAATAATAATACTAATAATAATAACTTGAAAAAGTTGGATAGAATCCTTTACTGTTAATATTACATTGTACTATCTGACAGGGTTTCCTGTATAGTTTTACAGCATTTTTTATTTTATTTTATTTTATTTACTAGACCAGGTTTTTTTTTTTTTTATACCAGATCTCAACCCAATAGGGCATCTTTGGGATGTGGTGGTGGAACTTCATGCCTTCGATGTGCATCTCACAAATCTCCATCAACTGCTATAAGATGCTATCCTATCAATATGGGCCAACGTTTCTAAAGAATGCTTTCAGCACCTTGTTGAATCAATGGCACGTAGAATTGAGGCAGTTCTGAAGGCGAAAGGTATTAGTATGGTGTGCCTAATAATCCTTTAGGTGAGTCTATAGCTTAAGCAACCTTAACTGTGACAAGGGAAACGTTATAAGATAGTTGTATATCTCTGGTGTCCAAAATCCTGCTCCATATCATGTGTGCATGTGTCCACATTGCACAGCATTTTCACTTTCTAATGGACATTCATCCATTCCCCAAAACAGTGGAGAACAGTGTACTACCTACTTCCTAAAATACAACATTTTTAGCAAAGCTTTGCTAGAATAAAACCAAAATGTTATTTACCTCATTTAAATAATTTAGAATGTGCATTATGGGCACATGGGGATATTTTGTCAAATGTTGCTAACCTCTGACATCAGTTTCCTCCCCAAAGTATCTTTAGTCAAGTAAAACCACTCACAATCACACATACAGCGCCAACTACACTTAAACGTCTCACTTCCTCTGTGTCTATAGGCTGTGACTTTGCAGTTATTTTAACCCCTTTAGTGTCTACGTCTTAGTTACGTCTCACTCACTCTCTCTCTCTCTCTCACACACACACACACACACACACACACACTCCAAATATGTTTTTAGCTTTGACCTCTTTATTTAGTATGCCACAGACATGTTCAGTATGTGAAGCATTCAGTCTTACAGCTTCAGCTGTGTCATGTCAAATACATTGAACAGGTAAAATAGCTCTTTGAAGGGAAACTCCTTTAGGGAGTGTAGTGTTAATAGTCTTAAAGGGTTAGTTCACCCAAAAATGAAAATTAAGTCATTAATTGCTCACCCCCATGCTGTACCAACCCCGTAAGACCTTCGTTCATCTTCGGAACACAAATAAAGATATTTTTGATTGAATCTGAGGGCTGGATCACTCTTCCATAGACAGCCTGAGGGACTGCCTCTTGACGGCCCAGAAAGTCATTAAAAGAAAAGGTTTAAATATTCCATGTGCCTACAGTGGCTCAACTATAACTTTATCAAGCGTCGAGACTACTTTTTGTGCGAAAAAAAAAACGTAAATAACGACTTTATTCGACTTTCCATTACTTCCTTATGGGCGCATGCGCGAGAACTGAGACGAGACCGTTCTTCTTCGACTACTTTTTGTTACCGGCTGCTCACCGCTTAGGAGTTTTACCGCCCCCTACCGTATAAGATGACGTACTGATATAGCCGGAGGCGCAAAACGTTCTGTTTACAAGCAGTACGTCATCTTATACGGTAGGGGGCGGTAAAACTCCTAAGCGGTGAGCAGCCGGTAACAAAAAGTAGTCGAAGAAGAACGGTCTCGTCTTGTCTCGTCTCAGTTCTCGCGCATGCGCCCATAAGGAAGTAATGGAAAGTCGAATAAAGTCGTTATTTACGTTTTTTTTTCGCACAAAAAGTAGTCTCGTCGCTTGATAAAGTTATAGTTGAGCCGCTGTAGGCACATGGAATATTTAAACCTTTTCTTTTAATGACTTTCTGGGCCGTCAAGAGGCAGTCCCTCAGGCTGTCTATGGAAGAGTGATACAGCCCTCAGATTCAATCAAAAATATCTTTATTTGTGCTCTGAAGATGAACGAAGGTCTTACGGGGTTGGTACAGCATGGAGGTGAGTAATTAATGACTTAATTTTCATTTTTGGGTGAACTAACCCTTTAAGCTATTAGACATTTTAGGTGAAATGTGTCTTGTATAAAACTCTTGTTGCATTGCCATGTTTAGACTTCACACCCTCCATTGAAGATAATGACTGTTATAATGACTGTATACGGGTGTTTATGTTGTGTTGCTTTTGGTTTGGTTGTTTTTGCACAGGAGTAGTTCACCCAAAATGGAAAAAGACTGCTTTTATTTTACAAACTTGTATACTTATGCTTAATGATGATGATTAGATGATGATTATTATTACTATAATAAATAGTGGCTTACGTGTTTGAAATGGGCAAGTAAATAGTTTTTTTCTTCATTTGAACTATTAGATTTCTGTTGATGTATTATATGAGACTGGATTTTGATGCCAGCTTTTATCCTTTTCCAGGTTGTGGATTGTTGATTTACAGCCATTTCCACTGGTTATTTATTTTCATTAATTTTTTTTTTTTTTTTCAAAACCAAGTTTCTTGTAAAGCTTCTAGGCTTGTATATTGCAAGGATACCACAAGTTTATTTGAGTGTGGCCTGTAATAGACTGAGCCACCAGTAGTGTGTGTGTGTGAATCGATTTGAGCTGCCCTTCTTTCATTCATCTGTTCCCTTGGGCTCAGTGTGCCTGTAATGACTTCATCTGGATATCTGGATTGATTGATTCTATTGACCATGATAAACACACATTTATTTGTTTATTAATATTTAAAATGGTTTATTAATAAAAATGTGTGTTCTAATTTAGTTTTTTGTTATGACCATCTTTATGTTGGCAACTAAGCTACTCCACACGCTGCACAATGGCTTCGGCCAGAGGTTATAGGTCAAGTCTTAGACTTCTCTGAGTCTGACACTTGGTAAAGACATAATCTTTAATGTAATCTTGATTTGTTTTCACTGTCTGGGATATCTGAGTTTTCATAGCATAAATAGCCATTGCTTTTATAAAACTAAAGCGGTTATTATTAATAATTATAGCTTAATGCTCCTTTATTTTAATTTGACTTAATTCCTCTATCTCTTCCTCTTTTCTTTGTCTCAGGTTATGAAAAGACCGAAGACACTTCAGAGAAGACTTCTCTAGCAGACCAGGAAGATTCCAGATTAATATTCCTCAATCAGCCCCAGTTTACCAAATTCTGCAATAACCGTGTCAGGTAAAGCCACACTCACACCTGTGCTTCTGAATGAACAGGCCGTCATGGTGAGCATTTCTAGGCGGTGGATGAAGAGTGTTGACTACAAAAACGTATTTTATTCAATACTAAAATATAGTGATTGTGGTGTTCATTAGCATGAAATAAATACTATTTTTTATTGAGTAAGGATCCATTAAATTGATAAATATTGACAATAAAGACATTTGTTACAAACTGTTCTTAGATTTTGTTTGCAAAAGGCCAAAGAAAAAAAGTATTGCAGATTCCGAACTATTTTCGACATAATAGTAACAAATGTATCTTGAGCAGCGAATCGTATTAGAATGATTTCTAAAGAATCATGTGACACTGAAGACTGGAGTAATGATCGCACAAGAGTAACTGATGTATTGTATGTAATTGTAATATTATTGCCCATTTATTTTTATTTTTTTTATCAAATAAATGCAGCCATGATGAGCGTAAGAGACTTCTTTCAGAAACATTGTTGGCAGAAAAATGTATCACAATAAAACTAGTGTGAGCTGTATTTGACAAAAGAGGAAGTGTTGCCATTTTCCAGCCGCCACAACGGATCACTATGTCCAAGTTACATATACTCATAGTGATTGATAAGGTGATGTATGGCAGACAGAGAGGAAGTTGGGGAAGGTTCTGTGGTTAATGTATGATTTCTGCTGAATCACATGATGAATATGTTAAAGAGCTAGTTCACCAAAATTGTGTCATTTATTTACAAGTTCAGTTTGTGTCAATTAAATGAACTAATTAAGAGTAGGGATGGGTACTGTTCATTTTTGAACATATTTTACTTCAATAACTGTAAATAAACTGTTTTTTCCCGCTTTCAACTAAGCTAATTTGTAGAAGTGTTATTGACATTATGCCAGAGCTGCCTTGGTCACTGTCTGCCATTGTCTGTGATACTTGATTATTAATAAAAACAACCATTTTAGCAATAATAAAAAGATCATTTCTATTAAATGTTTAGTTTTCCAAGTAATCAAATGAAGACATAAAACATTAATTTAATTGATATTTTATACTAAATTAAACCGCGCATCTCCGCCACTCATTCACACAGAGACACGCAGAGCTTGCAGGATTCCTGTTCAAATGGTCTTATTCTCGCGCCTAGATGCATTCTCAGGTACCGGAATTTGGCATAGATTGATTTAATCTGAATATGTACTCGGTAGTACTACCGACGTAATTTGGTTGAGTACCCAACTCTAATTTTGAGCAAATGGTTTGTTTTGAATCTAGTGTGAATTGGTCTAAGATGCTATGTCTTGTCAATTACCATTCACATAAGTTTTTTTGTTTTTCTCCCATCTTGCAGTGAGAGTGCAATCATTCAGATGAGATGTCACTCTCAGACTGCAGATTTTCAGCATTGAAACCCAACCCAAAAGTGATCATAACGGCACTCATTATTAAAGGGTTAGTTCAGCCAAAAATTAATTTTTGGGTGAACTAACCCTTTAATGCTGTAGTCTGATTATTGCATTGAATACCAATGCTAAGTTTTGCTGTCTCATGTCTGGACTGTTTATCAGTACTTCTAGCTTCACTGTATATAGAGGGCTGTCCCTTGTGCAGTGGACTGTCAGACCAGGTTAATGTTTGCGTTCCTGCAGCGTTAGAATGGCGACTGGGAAGTCCTGCTTGATTATGTGTATGTGTTTTACGATGTAAGCTGCCATGAAAAGAAAACAGGTTTTAGTTGTAATGGACTTCTGTCATGTTTTGCTTGTAATCATTGTTCATTTAGAAAGATCACACGCAAGGGTCAAGATATTATTTTCATTTCCTGCTGCATTTGTTTGCTTAGAAACAGTAGGCCTATCATTTAATTTAGTATATTTCAATTGCATGTTGTGTTCCTTCATAAAACTAGATGTCAGCAATTTAAAAGCCTTTTTTTTTCATGCATTTAAAATTTCATCCCTGACTCAGAAGTCTAAATATTATAGCAAAAGGGGTCAGTGTATAAATGACCTCCTTCATGATTGGCAAACCTTGGCTAATCATGTGTCTGCAGTAAACTGACAATAACTACGCTGATGATACAGTTATTGTCAGTTTACTGCAGAAACATGAATCTCAGCATGGGCCAGTGGTCGACGAGTTTGACAGTTCTTTTCTCCAGCTTAACACCTTTAAAACCAAGGATATGCTTATAGATTTAAGGAGAAAACAACCTGGTTCTCCTCTACCTACCTATATAAACAGAATCAGCATAGAGGTGGTAGAGCAGTATAAATATCTGGGTATAGTGATAGACAGTAACCTCAAATTTGACATTAACACAGAGATTATCTGCAAAAAGGGACAATGACGATTGTACTTCCTAAGGAAGTTTAGTTCACTTTTCACAAAACTTTTGCTGATAATTTACTCACCCCCATGTCATCCAGAATGTCCATGTCATTCTTTCTTCAGTTGAAAAGAAATTAAGGTTTTTGATGAAAACATTCCAGCGTTTTTCTACATATAATGCACTTCAGTGGGAACCAAACCGTTCAAGGTCCAAAAGAGACTTTCAGTGTAAACTGCAAACTGTTCAAACTGGCAATCATTTGAGCTTATAAAACTTAAACTTTGTTATTTATTTATTAAATGAGAAAAATAAGCCATATTTTGAAGGTGGTTGTTAAGTTAACATGCTGTCCACAGGTTTCCTTGATAAATATTTATGAGAGGCAGGTTATGAGGAGAGCAGATGCCATATTGGACTGTGTAAATCATCCCCTTCATTGTTCTTTTGATGTCCTTCCCTCAGGTCGAAGATTTAGAACTAAGAACTATTAAGAACTATTTTATACCAAGTGCAATTCAGTTGCTAAATTTGCACAATTCTATGACCTAGATGAGTAATAGTGTAAAAGTGTTTTTAATTAGTAGTTTGTGTTGTTTATTGGTATGTGTACCTGTTGTTATCTGTATGTTTACCTGGCTGCAAGACAAGTTTCCCTTGGGGGACAATAAACTGACTCTGAACTGAATTGAACTGAACCTTGAAACTCTATATTTGTTATTCATCAGTTCAGGTCAGTATGGTTACCAACCATAATGGTGAGCACCACCTACTCTCACTGTGGCCTTACTTCTTTCAATAAAGAGCCTGGCTTGAACCAAGTCACACAGCTTCAAAATGAATCACTAGATTACAACATTTCAATGTAAAAATGTTTTTAAACATTGGGCAAAAAAAAAAAAAAAATTACAGAAAGGTTACAGATTTTGAGTTTGGAATGAATTATGTATGTACTCCTACCGTTCAAAAGCACTACCGTTCAAAAGTTTGGGGTCAGTAAGAATCTATTTTATTATTATTTATTTTTAAAGGATCTTTTTCAGCAGCGGCGCATTAAAGTGAAAGTGTGAATATTGCTGTATTGCTCAAGTGTGTGGGCACTTTTGGTGTGATCACAAAATCTATGGCCTCCTCCAGTACTAAATTAAGTTATTTTTCAGGTCTTAAAGTGACAGCAGCCTAATATCTCTCATTAACTATTTCAGTCCTATCCAACTCTTGGTGATTCTATGGTCATCTCTTGCCATTTATGAGAGACTGACCATGAATTTACTTGGCAATGATTTACTTACCATCTCCAGTTCATCAATACTACGTTTTTTAAAAGGGAGCAGGAGCACCCAGAGCAAACTCACTATGTTTCCAGCTTCTTGCTGTGAGGCGAGTCAGGCGACAGTGCCACCCACTACCCTCTAAGCTATTGTGCCGCCCGTAGCCTAATATACCTGCTGCCAAATTATGAGATAATATTACATTACATTTACAGCATCTATATGGCAGATTTCCCCCCATGGTGTCAAAATTGTGGCCTGTGAAAATGCTGAGTAACTTTGCATAACCATTAGCCAGAGTGGCTGGTGAGTGGTGAGCAAGAAAGTTAATGTCAAGCCCTGAATCTATACATATCTATGGTGTTAATTGACCATGTTTTAATCAATATTTAATATTCATTGCATTGTTTGACAATAGAAAAATAAACAATATGTCAATAAGAATAGCGGTATTGTTTTCTTAAAACTAATATGTACTAATATGTACTCGAGGCGCGAATCAAACAAATGTAAAAACCTCACTGTACGCAGAATGCAAAAACAACGCAATGATGGCACATATATTAGCATAAGATGTCATCTAACGGAGGGGAAACTTGTATCACAATTTCTACAAAAATATTAAACCACACAACCAAACTCTGTTAATGAGAAATGTTACTTGAGCAGCAAATCGGTATATTAGAAAGATTTCTGAAGGATCATGCATGTGACACTGAAGACTGGAGTAATGATGCTGGAAATTCAGCTTTGACAACACAAGAAAAAAATAAATAAATGCAGCCTTGGTGAACATAAGAGATTTCTTTCGAAATCAATTCTACTGACCCCCAACTTTTTTTTGTCTTATCAGGAAACATCACTATATTATGATTGAACGATACATGTAATAGCTAGCTAATTATGAATGGCATTTTTACTTCTAGAACTCTTCATGTGCTTATGGTTGTGACATTAAGCTGCAAAAACAGGTCACCAACTTTGGCTGTAACAAGTGGCCTGACTTTGTGTGATGAATGATAAATAGTTCCACTTCCTACACACTGCTCTTTTGAAATAAACAAGTTAAATATACTATCATGGACCTTTTTGAGAGCTGTTTGTGTTAGATTAAGCCTTTATTTACATACGCCATTGTGTGGCTAATGTGAACTGTTGGTGAAGTTCAATTTGTTACTCCTAAGTGCACCTGCTATTAAAGCTGATCTGGTAAACAGCTACTGCTATATGTATAGCATTGCTGTAGGCCTTGCAAACCAGTTTAAAAGGAAGAGGGATCACAAAGAATTTATTAACATATGCTTTACCTAAACAAACACAGCCTTCTGGTGTTTAGAATATGGCACACATGCTAAGTTATATTAAATTACACAAATGTACACCTCAAACAAACACATTATTAACATATCTCCTAACACAGAATCCTTCTATTATAAACAAAAAAGAACATATTTGCTCCACACACTGTGTGCCTTAGACCAAACAGCAAAGTGATGCGTTTGCAAATGCTCCACCACCAACAAAGCCGCAATTAAAAGGATTAACATCACGTGGTTAAACCTTGAGGTGCATTTTGATGAGCGGTTACACTAGTCACCCCAGTGACTGCCTGATGAGCCAGCGTCCTGAAGCCCTCTTGTGCGATACTTGTTTGTTTAAAATCATGATGACGCCAAGTAGTGCTAAACGAGCTGAGCGTGTGGGCTAAGCAGCTGGCTGAGGTCTAGAAGCAGACCTAGATCTGGTTTCTGGGGTCGTGTAGAGGAAATGAGAGGAGAGACGCAGGTCATCTCTCTCTCAGCTCCTTTGTGAGAAAGCTATTTGCTGGTATGTCATGTTAAGATTGACATCCACCTAAATATTCATAATTGTATTTCAACTTTGTATTAGTTGCCACTGTCAGGAAACTTTTTTTTTTCTGAAAGGTTCTGAAGAGCTTCATATACTAATTGAAAATGATTCATTTATGCTTTTACAATGGTAACAACAACCCCTTGCAACTATAACTATAAAAGGTTGCTGACAGACGAATTTTGCTGGTGATTTTGTCTTATGTCGCTTGATTTCTCAACTAGATGCATTGGATTTTTTCTTTTTCTTTCTGTGTGCTTGATTGAATATGAGGACAGATGAAGATCTTACTCTTCAGTCTTGCTCTCCTCCATGAATTTGAGTTACCCAGCAACATGGACATGTGTTTCTTTATCTGAGGAACAGTAAAAGCTACTGTTAGCCACCTGATGCACGCAGCTACGCCGTTCAAAAGCTGAAAGCTAGCCAAGAGAAAAGCGAGAACGACAGGCCCCTGACAGAACTTTCCATCTCGTACAGTGCTGCTAATTGCTGGGCTGTGGTGTGCGGTGTGCCGTGGACTGATACACATCTCTGTGAAGACCGGATCAGTGAAACGTAGAGGCAGTGAGAGGACACAGATCAGTTTCCACTTTAAGGACGTTCACACTTCACAGACTGTCAGTCTCCCCAATGTGCCTTTTATTATATTGTGTTGTATTTTATATTACATATATATAATTGTGAGTCATTAATAAAAATAAAATAAAAAATGAATTCTGATTGAAATGTAATATTTTGGTGGGCTGATATTGTATTTTATAAATCAATTAAAAAAAACGAATGAAATTGTATTTTATGTTTTAATGGTAATTTTAAAATGATCTGTTAATGAAATGCTAATTTTTTGGTGGCTGAGAAAATTGTATTGTATTTTTATAATATATCAATTTTTTGTATATTCTAAATGAATTTATATAATATTTTAATTTATATACGAATCATTAATTCATAAAAAAAAAAATACTATTAATCTGATTCTGTTCCGTGTTCTGAGAATATTGTCTTGTATTATGTTATTTTTTTAATATTATATTTTGTTTTAAGAATCATTGGTGAATACATTTTAAAAACCAATATTCTGAGTGTTGAGTGTTGAATGAGTGTTTCTTGGTGGATCGTTCTTTTGGAAAGTGTGTGGATAAAGAGGCAGGTGTCCGGGTTTAGAGTGGGATGTTTATCTCAGTCTAAAGTGGCTTCGCTGTCTTGGACCTAATGTGTGTGTAAATCAGTCGGCGGAGATGGAGGTTCTGGCAAGCTCCCACCATAGTTCACTCAAACTCAGAGCTCTTTACAGCCCAGTCTCTCTCTCCTCATCAAACTTAGCTGTTCTTTATGGTCATTAACTGCCTCTCTCCATCACTCACTGTGTGTTTGTGCGTGTCTTGGGATGCACTGAAACTGAGTTTGGCTTGGGGGAGAAAGTTTGATTCACTATGTGAAACCAATATCACTATTTTAGTGAAATAGTGACCAACTGAAAGTAAAAACTGAAAATGTGAGAACTAAATGGATAATAAATAAAATGTCAGCCCAGTCTGCAGATGATTTCAGGTGGTTTTATATTGCGATCACTGGTCATTGTTGGAATGTAACCACCTTTCTCATTTCCTCTGTCTTTTTTTTCTCTCATACAGCACTGCAAAGTACAACGTTCTTACGTTCCTGCCTCGGTTCCTGTACTCTCAGTTCAGAAGAGCAGCCAACTCCTTCTTCCTCTTCATCGCACTTCTGCAGGTAAGACTACAATGTCAATCCTTCAGGGCAGGAGTACTGATGACAAGCTGGAGAGATAAGGACTGTCAGCTCTCACGGTCGCAGATAGACATCTGTCGGATTCCCTGACCCACTGTGATCAGATACTGGGTATCTTAAGTATATAGGACTGATAAAAGAGCAGGGTGAAATCGATCTCTGGTTCAGACCAATCAATCAATCAGACAGACAAGACTGACAGACAGTCAAACCAAGTGTGAAAACCTCAGTGTTACAGTGCATTATATCACACACGTGAATGCCAACGTTGTTTCAAACTGCACGATAACACATTAAATTGATCAAACGTGAAAGACATTTAAAATTTCCAATAAAGGTTTAATTTTCTATTCTCCTGGAATCCTGAAAAAAGGTACTCGGAGAGCCTTGTTGCCAGTACCTTGAAGGGCATAATAGAGATTAAAAACACAATAACTTACCGAACCCAAACTTCTGAATGGTAGTCTACTGCACTTGTTTCGAAACTTTAATACATTTTGGCTCCACTGCATCTGTGTAATTCCCAGACCGCGCAGTCATCGAGGGCTCCAGAGTGCTATAGACGTGCTGTTCTTTTAGAGACTGAAGAGCCCACGAATCCACCAGCGAACAACCTGACGTGACCCTGTGGATGCACATTAAAGAGCCCCTATCATAGCATTTGAAATGTTCCTATTTTTGTTTTAGGAGTTCCCAAAAACAGTTTAACATGCATGCAAGGATAAAAAACACTTTATTTGTCTCATAATATGCATTTATTTTTAACTGATTTGCTCAACGACTCCCAAATGATTCGTTCGACGATTCATTTTCCCAAACACCTCCTTTGAGTGACGCGAATCTGTGGCGATTGATCAAATGACCCAGTCAGTTGTTATTGGTAAACCGTAGGCAGAGACTGTCGGCAACGGAACGCCCATAACCAGGATTATAGCTTGTCAAGTGTTGAAAATTGTAAATAGTGTTTGAACAAACGTGTGCACTTTCCACACGGTCCCTTACTCGCGTCTCCGTATAGAGCAAGCTTTCCCGGCAAAACTCACATTGCGGGGGCTTTTGAGGGGCAGTGCTTATTATATAGAGCGAAGTCATATTTGGCTAAGTCGTTTAGGAGGTAATTGCCATTTTTCAATGAATGTCTGGTGAATATCAAAAACAAAACTAACTTTACCCCGCTTAGAAGCTGCTCGGAGTGTACACAACACAATACAACTATATTGTGCATGCGACAGAAAACATAACAGCAAACATTATTAATATTACTTACAGAATGTGATTCGGAGGAGGACGAACCTGATCCATATACACTGGATTGCAAATACTACTCGTTGCAAATATGAACTCTGACCACTGATTCTTCACATGCTCGTCCCTGGACAATGGAAACAAGTGGCTGAACTGTCTTTGCAATGTAGAAAACAGCGTCTTCTCGACATGATGCGATTCAGCTGAAGTATTTGAATGTTTTCTAGACGTCACGATGTAACAGCTAATGACTCGTTTCAAAAACAATTCATTTCATAGACTCAGAGTCGACTCTCACTTTTGAAAGACAATAACTTTATTTACGGTGCACTTTCAGATATAAATCTTTGCAGGATGTTTTCATTCCTTTTTGAGCTATATTCCACATGAACAGTCATTTTCAAAAATCCATGATAGGTGCTCTTTAAATAAATGCCTCTGTTTTAAGGTAGCTGAATCGATGACCTGGGGGAAAAGCGAGATAAAGAAAGAAGAGAAACTGAGAGAAAGGAGAGTAAAACAGAGAGTCAGGTGGCTTCGAAGCGCAGGTTCAGTGTATCTTCATTACGCCTCTGTCAATGCAGTGACCTTGAATGAACAGGCGTACTGTGAACGGGAAAAACAGCAGGGATGGGTGTGTTGTGGCAATAAGGGGGCCAAGGTGCAGTTTCATCAAAACTGCTCACTTCCATCACAATGCTACTTTTGGAAATCCCATCATAATCAAGGAGACATTTTGATACCGACACCAAGGTTCCATGAGGATCGACTGCTCTACGTCTACGCCACTGTGGTTTGGTTGTGAGCGTACTCTCCTGTTTAAGTGAAACGTAATGCAGAAGGAAAAGTGTGTTGGCGGCATCGGGTTAAAAGGATTCCGTTTCGGGTTTCCTAATGTATAGTATATCTCTGCATTCTCGGCCTCTTACTGAACCTTTCACTTAAAGCTGACACTTTATCTGATAGGGACACTTTCCAAAGACGTTCCGCTTTTTGATATGTAAAAGTTCTTGTGGAATGAATTATATTATATATAAGCTTGTGGGCCCTATCGAACTGCCTGACCGGCACCTAACCAGTCTGGAAATTCATGCTGGTCTAAGCTGATCTCTTCAGCAGGGTAGACAGATATGTCACATGCCGACTTCTAAACATCCATCAGAGTCACTGCTGCTGACTTTCTGATGGTTATTGCCATTCCCTTAGGTTGCTTTCTTGACCTACCGGTGATAAATACACACACCACCAGGATGTAGACCCTCAGGCTGTGTTATGATTCCTGGGGTACAAAACAAGAGCTGTTTATCAGAAAAAAAAAAAAGTGTTTTTTCCCGAGTTCTCCGCAAGGCTTTCATTATTTTGTGTTCGTATTCAGGTCCTCTAGGCGACACGGTTTGTGTATTGAGTGTGTGAATGTCCATGTTTTGATTTTTGATATGGTGGAGGGAGGAATTAAAGAACATAAATTCATGTCGCCATTTTATTTGTATTTTTTTCTCCGCAGCAAATCCCTGATGTGTCACCAACAGGGCGATGGACAACACTTGTGCCGTTACTCTTCATTTTGGTGGTGGCAGCAGTGAAGGAGATTATAGAAGACCTGGTGAGAGCATAAAAACATTTTTGATGTTACACTAACTTGCTGAATAAATGCAGAAATACATGTGAACTCCTTTATACAGATGGTCAGATGTTCTTGTGCCCACTGATGCTCAAGATGCTCTTTGAATTATCTTAAATTGTGCTTTTTCAGTTTATCTTAATGATTTTTTTGTTGTTTGCAGTAGGGATGATTGTTAATGAGTGATTAATGAGAGAGAACTGTGCTCTACTTGTAGATTTTATTCTCCTTTGCCCTCACAGCTGTAATATTACCGTTTTTAGACTTTGTTCAGGTATATATCCTTTCCTCTTCCCGATAATTCAGTCACACACTCTCGTGAATCACGTACACTGCAGAATGGATCTCACTCCCATTAGCTGAAACATTTTCCAGTCAATAAGCTTTTCTTTTTTTTCCTGACCTGAACTATCATCTCATTTAGATTGCAAATTATTTCCAAAAACTCTTTGCATAGAAATTTACATAGAGGAGTGAATACTGAGGTAAAACCACCAGCCCAAGTGGATAGGGATGGGACGATTAACGGTTTCACGATAAACCACGATAAAATATACTGACAGTTAGTATTATCGTTTAAAATTGAATTATCATTAAATCCGGGTTTGCGCAGCACGCAGTGTTTATTTTAAATTATTATTCGAGTAGGAATGGCGGAAGGCAGTGACCGTGCTCGGGAGATTTTTCAACCTTTTAAGAGGACCAAATCTGAGGTGTGGTCATATTTTGGCTTTTACAAAAGTAGGGAAAACTTGATCGAGGATGGTCACCCCGTCTGTCGAACAAAAAGTCACTGCAATAGAAACACTTCAAATCTGCTGAGTCGTCTTGTGTGACCATCACCCAGTGTTGTAACACAAGGCAAGTTAACTTTGACCTCAATAGCAAAACTACGTCTGGGAAACATGAATTGTTCTTTTGAGTCGAATCATTTTGTGAAATAGACGTGAAGCTTCCGCGAAGAAAAGTTCGCAGCAAGTGGCTTTGAGCCAAAGACGGACAACTTCAAACAAGACTATTATTAAGAGTGTCATTTTAAGGGATAGTAATGTATAGATACATCACTTTACGCCGATTTTATTTTTACCACATAATTAAAGGGACATATATTGAATTGATAATGAGATTAGCTAATGTTTTAAATCTTACCTGTTTATAAATTAATTTTCTAAAACAATCGTCCAGACAAGATATTTCACACCAATATTATTAAACTCTGTAAACAATAAATCAACTTTGATTTCATTTTCAATACAATCAATGACGGCAAGTTGTATTTGAATGAAACGAGAACGCGCTTCCGTTGTGATATGGATGTTCGCTGTGTAATAATGCGTTGCTATTGATGACAGTCATTATAAAGAAGGAAATGCCATAGAATAGAGCTGCTTGTTTTATTTGTTGTTTGTTGATTTTCAAATATAAAATTTGTTGAAATATTTTCAGTGTGAGCATCAGTTCCTTTTTGGAAAACTTTTAACAAATTTTAACAAAACCTTGATAATATTGATAATCACTAAAATTTTGGACACTATAATTGTGATATGAACTTTTCATTCCGTCCCATCCCTACAAGTGGATCCACCATAGTGCATTGAGCCTGAAATCAGAGCCTGCTCTCCCGGCTCCCTCTAGACAGCCATCCGATCACATCACGTTGGATGCTGTGGTCAGAATAACCAGCTCAGCTTTTTATGGGTCTCTGATGTGTTATTCAAATCTGAGAGGTCAAGCTAGCTCTGGAAGTAAAGGTCATTTGATAAATTCACCACTCTGCTGTCATCTACCGCTCTGCTCTGAATGGTCAGATGACCTTAGCTTTTTTTTCCCACTTCAAGTAAAAACACGCGCTAGTATTTAGAGATATCCCATAAGGCAAGAAAAGGGCTTCTATTGTTACTAGCTGGCTTTCAGACTTTAATGGCTTGTTTTTGTATCTAAAGGAATAGAAAATTGTAATTTACTCGACCTTTAATGTTATTTTTTTAAGTCTCGGCTGGATATATTTGATCAAAAATACCGTAAAATCTGTAATATTGTGAAACTTTTGACAATTTAAAATAAATTTTACTTTGTTGTATTTCCATCTGTTCTAAAATGTAAATACGACAGTTTCAGCAACCATTCATTCTAATATCATTCTAATATACTGATTTGGAGCATATATAAATATATATACAGTATATACACACACACACACATATACATACTGTATATGTCCCCAAACTTTTAACAGTTGTTTAGTTTAAAGTCACACTTTTTGTTTGGTACTTTCTTACTGTGTCTTTTTATGTGAGTTTCAAAAGAAGCCAGCAGGCTCTGCTATAATCCTTAACTCGTCATAATCCAGCAGCTCTAACAAAGACGAAGTCTAACAAAAAGAGGTGACGCACCAGTGCTCTCCACACCGTGGCCTGCTTATCAGCTGCACCCCACTGTACTCCGTTAATCCAGCTGGGATTTGGTGCTGCATTTTACCACAAACCCAAACTGCTGTCTCCTCTTCCCTTTCGGGCCTTGTTTTACTGTTACCTATTCCTTCCTCTTGCTCTTATGTTCACTGCAGACAAGCCATCAGTTAGATTAGATGCATAATTAAATCATCACTTCCCTCCACAGAGCCTGATCTCTGCTCTGCTCTGTTGTGGTAAAGGAAAGAGTAGGGGAAATGGAAACTGAGGAGAGTGTGAGAAAGGGAAAGACAGAGTTATCCAACGCTGCACCAGAGCTGATCTGGATGATGAATGGGATGTGAGACCTGAGAACTTTTTCTTTCTCCTGCTGAGTCTGAGGGGAGGTCATGTGACATGGGCTGCTCAATAAGCTCTCCAGTAATATGAATGAGGCTGTTTGTCACATTTCATATCCTTTTAATATAATATAAATTTGAGAGAGATGCAAGAAGGGATAAAGGGACAGGCTGGAGAGACACAGCCTGCAATGATTTTTTTTTTTTTTTATTAGCAACCATTTTTTTTTCACGTTGTGTATATACATCAGTGTTATTTTAGTATTGAGTACTGAGATGCTGTTATATTAATATTGAATTATTTTTTTATTGTAAAATTTTCTGTTTTCATTCTAATTTTACAATTTTAGTCATTTAATTTAATTAATTTTTTGTCTAGTTTTTATTCATTTGGTTTTCATTTTAGTTATTTTACATTTCTGCTATTTAGTTATTTTATGCATCAAGTTCTATAAATAAATACAAGCCTAATGGCATATTAACCAGTCATCCTGGATGAAGAGTGGTGACATGGGACATATTTTACCAGTGTTGGCCAGGAGGATGATTAGGCAATCAGAGAGCACTGAAGGCAAGAGCACAGATGAATACAGTATGTTTTGCTTTAAGAGGCTAATCAGGGTTTTCAGATCACTCTCACTCATTTGCATTCACTTAAAGTGGTTCAGTTTAAAGCAGGTCAAACAGCTCTTGTAATCTGGCACAGAAAAAAGTGCTTCAACAGACTCTTCTCTTTTCGATTAGCACGGTGTTATTGATCATTATACCGGTGAAACATCACTCTTTTGCTAAATAGATTTTTGTTTGATATTTTTCTTATGACTTTTTGTTGAATGCATGCTGTAATTTACTTTCTGGTAGTAACTGTGCTTGTAAAAGCCAATAAAGTATACTTTTCTTGTTGATGTTTAGAGGTTTCAGAATCTATTCTCTTGGTAAATTATTTTATAGATATATTTCTATTATTTTACTTATTTTATTGATGATTTACACTTTAGCAGACAATTATAAAATCTAAACAATTCCATGTCCATCCATCTAAAACTATTTAAGTTTTTTTCAGCAGTTGAGGCTCATTTGATTTTTTTTTTTTTAATCATTTATTTATTTTTAATTAGAATTTTTATTTGTTTGTTTTCAGAAGCGTCACAAAGCTGATAATGTTGTTAACAAGAAAGAAACACAAGGTAAGACATTTGTTTGCTCACTGGTCTTCTTCTAAATCCCCATATATTTGTCTGATTAGCTCAATTTTCTTTCCTGATTTCCCATTGAAACAAAGTTGAGATGGGACGTAAACAACTTTTATTTTTATATAAATGGGCAATAGCGTTAGTTTGCCTTACACGCATGAGCTAGTTAAGACATTTTGCTTCTAGAGAGCAATTGAATGGTCAAAGAATCAGACATGTGCAAGTAGAGGATGAGTCATCATCATTGATTAGGGACGAGAACCAATGGTGCCAGGACCGTACTGGAATTGCTGATTTATAGGGTGCTTCTCAAACAGAAGGCTGCTTCCTACTGAGGCATCATCCTTCCTAGTTCAGTCCTTCGAAGGCTTGTGGCCTTGAGTCCTCCTCAGCATTAAACGCTTGAATGAGATGGTATAGGAAGTGTGCAATGCTACATCATAAATGTTTCCACCTCGGGGCCACCGCACAATTTTTAGCTTCATTTTGGGAAAATGCTTTGTATTACAAATCTTTATATTAACTGGCTTTTTATTAATAGAGTACAGTTAATGGCAACCGTATGTGGTCTCCCAGTGCCCTACATTATTGGCAGTTTAGTGTTAAGGGATTAATTTTCAGTAAAACAAAAGATAACATCTACAGTATATCCTGTCCGAAAACATCATTTTTGTGTTATATTTCAAAATAAACAAGCTCAGTACCCTCTCGTTTGCTCATTTTAATATGTGCCAACTGGAATGTGGGTGATTTAAGGCGGCAAAGGATACGTCCTTCAAAACCGGCCGAATGAAGGATGCGAAACGAAGGCTGCCTTCCTAGGATGCTTCAAACGTTTGGCCTTCAGTGAGGTTTGATGATGTGGCAGCCGAGATTTGCAGCCTTCGTAGGATACAGCCTTCCGTTTGAGAAGCAACCATAGTGTCATGGTGTCTTAGTTGGGTCTGTCTTTTCTTTATACACTGTCTTTCTTGTTGGTGATTTTCTCTCTCTCTCTCTCTCTCTCTCTCTCTCTCTCTCTCTCTCTCTCTCTCTCTCTCTCTCTCTCTTTCAGTATTGAGGAACGGCGCTTGGGAGATTGTACATTGGGAGAAGGTACTGTAGATGATGTTCCCATCATACTGACTGCTTCAATGAGCTCCTGAATGAAAACAAGTTGACATGTTCTTGGAAAGAGAGTGAGAGAGGGAGTATGCATATAAAGATGCCCTCTGGTGTAAACCAGTGCAGGTTTGGTTTCAAAAACAAATGCTTTGGTGTTTTCTGTAGAGGATACTTCCCTCTCCACTCTTTTTCTTTTCTTGATACTCAGCTCTTTAGGTTGAGTCATAGGGGTAGAATCTAGCCAGGCTGACTCTTACGTGCGGTCACCATAGAGATCTTAATAAAGCCAGACACAGAGCGGCTTTTTAATGTGTTAATAGAGAGTAAAGCTAATTAACTTTATGGGAACACACGGTCCATAATTATAATCATAATATAAAGGAAATGACTGGAGAGTGGAGATGTAATTACCTGGTGACTGGGCACTCTGTTACTGTTTGCTATATTAGTGCACATCTGCAAGAGGGCATTAACTTGTGCCCTGGTGACTTCACAATGTCACAGATTAGGATGTGATGTCATCAACCATGACTTCTCACAGTTCTTTAGTATATTAATTTCTGATGCTGCAATTCTTCTAAGTGCTGCTAGAATGGATAATAAAGTAAAATAGGTTTCTGCTTTAGTTCTCATTTGAATTTGAATTTGAAATCTTTATTTCGAACATGGAAAAGAAAGTGAAGAGTTCAGATGCAAAAGCCTCTAAGTGCCATTTGAAATAGAATGATCAATCAATATATTTAAGTTCAGTAATTTCAGTTAAATTGCAATGAGGATTACCTATTAATTGTCATTTGAGTGAAATTACTAAACTTGAATATATAAGCTTGATAAAAATGATCATTTTAGAAGAAAATTTCAAATGGCATTTAGAGGCTTTTGCATCTGAACTCTTCAAGTATATAAAAATATAAAACAATGTTTTAAACATAGGAGAAAACAACAACAAATGATCAGCAAACAAACAAAACTTCTTTCCTGTTAACATACTTTTTTTACATGTGCGAAAAGGAGTAGGATGAAGTAAAACTTATATACTTCTACCCCCTTAACAGTCATTCAATTTACAATTTTTATATTATTATGTTGTTCTATACATCTACATATATATATATATATATATATATATATATATGCATACTTGCATACTTACATACTTGCATATATACATACATATATGATATATATATATATATTTTTTTTTTGTATTTTTTTTATTGCTTGAATATGTACATAATTGAGGTCAAATACATTGTAGTGACCATTGACAAGTATTCATTTATCTAACCTCAATTATGTACTTATTCAAGCAGCAAAAAATACAAACAAAAATAACAAAACAAACAAAGAAAAACAACAATTAATCATTAAATCTTTGCAACATAAACATAATTTATGGTCTTCTTGTCGCCCATCATTTTATGAAACCACACTGTGACAAACTTTTGAATTACAGTGCACAGAATGAAAAATGCATTTTTAATATACTTATACTTATACTTATAAATGTATATATGTGTTCAGTGTATATATATATATATATATATATATATATATATATATATGAATGGTATATCAATTTGTACATGTTTAAGTAGCTCTCCACTTCGAATCAAAATAGCAGCTATGAAGAAGCGTTCTCCTACTGGATTATGGCTAAAAAGATGATTAAAAATGCTAATCCAAAAAGATAAATTATTTATTTGCACAGAGAATGTTATTGATGAAGGCCTCATTTTAAATGACAGGCTCAAATGAGAGCTTGTGTTTGGATCCAAGCACTTCCTGAATGAAATATGTCAAATGCAAGGTTTTGAATTGATTACTACAGTAGTTTGTGTCTTACAGGTTATGGTTGGAGACATAGTTAAAGTTAATGGCAAAGATTTCATACCAGCAGATGCAATACTGCTGTCGTCCAGGTAGACGAGTCCACGTCATCAGAAGGGACCCTGTCCATCCTTATGCCCCTGTCTTACACTCAAAACCCAAAGGAAGTGGTGATTAATAGGCTAATAAGATAACCCTGAGATAAGCCCCAACAGTAAATCAATGCAGTGGCATTATACTGTAAATGGTATCAAATTAGGTTTTTAAGATTCTGCCATTGTTTACTTGACTTATGTTGTCTCAAACTCAAAAGTCACATGGGTTTAGACTAAATAAATGGCAGAATTTTCATTTTTGGAGGATTTGTTCTTTAATGAGTGGAATAAGTCAAAATCAACACTTCCTTGCGCAGATGTTTGCTTATTGGTTAATACTACTGACCTGATGACATTTGTCCAACACTATCCCCTTCACTATCAAAATCCATTTGCCTCAAGTTGTCCCAAAGTTTCGAGAGTCTTTCAGACATGTATATCAGTAAATTGGCATTTTAAACTCTTTTTTTTTTTTTTTTTTCACTTTACTGATGGTTCAGCTTGGTTTGAATGGGTTTTGAGCAGTGGACATCGTTTTTTTTTCTCTCTCTGTAAAGATTAAACATTTGTGTGTTTTTGTCTCTTCCCTATGTTCTTCTGTGTGCTCTTCCTCCTCTATCCATCTTATGTCCGTTCCTTCCTGTCATCTCCACCTGTCACCCTCCACTCCCACCTCATGTGATGAACAACCGTCTCCTGACTTCTCTCGTGTCATTCCCCTTGCACCGGGGCTACTGTGTAAATGAAGGTTTCGGTAGGGGAGGTAGTCCGAGCAGCCAATGGAGATCACCTCCCAGCCGACCTCATCCTTCTGTCCTCCAGGTCAGGAACAGCTCCGGTTTGCATGTGGGTCTAGTGGGAAGGGGGTGCACAGGTGGAAAGAATCTGTTACTCTAATATTTTGCGCTCTCCTTTTTTTTATCAGCTTTTGATGCTATTCTTAATTATACCATGTTTATTTTTATCCATTCTCTGATTGATGTTGGGTTTTAGCGCTGGGTGATATACATTTTTCTGTCTGTATTCAAAAAATTTTGATATAACAATGTATATTTAAGATAAATCTATAAATCTCCACCTCCAACATCCTCACACGCAATATAGCCGACTAGCCGAGACCACTCCTTTATGTGTACAGATGTGACGTAATGACGCAAAGACATTTCCCATGGAAATCCAACAGTCCCACTGGAATTAAAAACATTATTACAAGCTTACTGCTTTGAATCGAGCTACGGCAAGCAGATAGTGTTGAACACTGGCTGGTTGTATGTATTTTCTCAAATATGTATTTTGGTTCAATTTTAACCCCAAAAAAGCTACGGACTGCAGCTTTAAGTATATCGTCAGCCACATCATAGCTGCGTGTCATTCCGGAGGTCACATTTGTTGGCTGCATATGTCATAAAGAATGTCTTATTTCAGAACAATAGCTATGGATATTACGGAGGATGCAGCCTTCGAAATGAGACACGGCTCATGTGTCTGAAAATTGTGCAATCAAATGGCCTATTTACAATATCACGCCTCTGTAAACTCAGATCATTGTTAGACCACTTTTAGGCGTGAGATTCGAGCACTAAAAATGAGTTGACGGGGCACAAATTTCTCAGAGGACAGTTCTGTTCCTCTCCCAACAGAAAATACTGATGAAGCCCTTTTCTTTAACTGGACAGTTGTGTATTACAGACCTTTGTTTTATGCTGGAGATGCTTCAGCAAGTGCACACAAGAAAAAACAAAGCGCTACTCTAACACAGCTGTAGAAAAGGCCCATTGAATGACTGCAAATGTCACAGCTGTTTGCACAATGCATGGTTTCAGCAGGAGCTTGGACTCTGCATGCGCTCACATCACTACAATGTTCAGTATTGTGATGTACCTTTTTAGAAACTTGCATTGTTCGTACACCAAATCTGAGATATAATATTAATGCACTTTCACTCTTATAAACGTGACGTTTTGGTGGGGACTATTGATATCCATTTTTGTTTTGTATAGACCCAAAGCAGAACACTCTTTTCTGATAACTTGTTTAAATACTGGATGGGGACCAGCTTTTCTGTTAAAGCCTGCTGTCGTTTATTAAAGGAGAGATGTGTAACAGCTTTGGCCCTGTGTGCTCGCTATCCTGCTTTTACTCTTCTCTGTATTAATGCTGAATGTTCATTTGTCTGATGTGCTGCATCTTTCCTTTGTTGCATGTGGAGGATGTCACTAAACATAAAAACAGCTGAATGCATGGCCATAAACAAAGATGCATTGACTGAAAGTTTCCTAATGGGTGCAAAATGAAGGTTCTGAGGGTGTCCCATTAGAGCAATATTTTTTTAGTTTTCAGTCCAAGTACTAAAATGCTTAAGTAATTATAATGGCAAAAAATTTAACATAAAACTACTTGCTCTTGAAAACAAAGCATCTTTGATTATAGGGCTTCATTTAGCTGTTTAGTTTTGTATGAGGTGACCCAACTTTTTGTTATTATATTAATTATATATATTAAACTTGATGTAGTTACATATTTTTTGTTGTTTTACATGATAAATTATTAAGATATACTACCGTTTAAAAGTCTCTTATGCTCACCAAGGCTGCATTTATTTGATTAAAAAAAAAACAGTAGTATTGTGACAGTATTACAAGTCGAAATAACTGTTTTCTATTTTAATGTACTACTGTGCTGGCAAAACTGAATTTTCAGCATCATTACTACAGTCTTCAATGTCACATGATTCCATACACAATCATTCTATTATGCTATTTATATAACATTTTTTATTTTTTATAAAAAAAAAAAAAAACTCATGCTTTTCAGTAGTTTTTGAGGAATAGAAAGTTAAACAGAAAGCATTTCTTTGAAATGGAAATCATTTGTAACATTATAAATGTCTTTACTGTCATCTTTGATCAATTTAATGTGTTCTCGGAAAAAAAATGCAGGGAAAAATCTTACTGACCCTAAACTTTTTAACGGTAGTGTATAACTTTATATTAATATTTAATATAGTTAATTAAACTGCAAAACATTCTTATGGTAGAGCCATAAGTAATCAATGATTTTCCATAATATTGCTGTTTATCCTAGTGAACCTCAAGGAATGTGCTACATTGAGACCTCAAATCTGGATGGAGAAACTAATCTCAAGATCAGACAGGTGAATATTTTGTTCTTTTCATGTAATACCTGTTGTTTTTCAGGTAGCCTATCAGTCTGAATTGTATTACTTTTTGTGTAAGTGTGTTTTTTGTTGTACTCAGGGTCTGCAGATCACTGCTGACATTAAGGACATTGACAGTCTGATGCGTATCTCCGGACGGATGGAATGTGAGAGTCCCAACAGACACCTCTATGAGTTTGTGGGCAATATTCGCCTGGATGGACACAGGTATGAAACTGAAACTGACTTCAGCCTTGTATTTTATTAGTCTGAAATATTGATGAGCTTGAGACAAGTTAATTTCAGCAAGATTGATTCGATCGAAGTTTGAAGAATTAAAATGACTCCCTGATACTTTCGAGTCGGGCTATTGAAGCCAGGTTTAAAAGTGTATTGACGTTTAGCGAGGAACAAAGCTGTACTTTATATAATCAAAAATTGTTGTGCTTTCATTAAACCTATACCTTGGTGCAGTTATTTGTATCAAACATCACATTCTCCTTCTGTTATGCTTAAAGGGTCATTCCACCTCTGGAAAGATGAATTTGTATTTAAAATGAGTAATTTATGTAGAAGGAATGTGAAATTATGTTTGAATTTGGAGCTTTCTAGACTGAGAAAAGCCAGAAAATGTATTTTTGGCTTATGTGGATGAAAGTCAACAACTCCCAGAATGCACTTGCTTCTCTGCCCTAGGAGGCCACGCCTACCAGTAACCACTCAGTAGGTAAACAACAAGTCTAGGCTAGTCTAGTGCGTCTCGGTGATGAGTCTGCCGAAAATGTGTTTTGAGATCGGCCAAAATGTCCGGAATTCGGCTTTTGCGTTCTAGGGTCGCCATTCATCATGTTTACTGTGGCGAGCAAGACGAGTGAGGGCCGCGGGAAAACGACGCGAGGCTGGTGGCGTGATTACCGTTGAGCAACACCTGTGAGAAATAAGTTACCAGTCTCGTATCTCTCACGGAGGAGCAGGAATTTTCTTAGCAATGTTAAAACGCATATCTACGATCACTTGTTTAGCGTTCATGTAAACACTACATTCAAATTCACCAATCAGAATGAATTCAGTTAGTTTGAAACAAAAGCTGTGCATGTAAACAATGCAGAAAGCAAAAGCTGAATCCCGGACATTCGAATCCCAATCCTCCATAATGCATCCATCTGCGTGTTCAGTAGCTTCGTCCATATATTCAAAAAGTTTCTGCCGGTGAAATCAAGCGCACTGGCACTGATCTGTGATTGGTCTGTTAGCGCATTAGGCCCAACCCCCTATGAGCGGGTTTGAAAGGGTGGGAACTAGTCTTGTTGTCTTTACAGAAATCCCGCTCTCTTACACTTCCTACTGCAATGGCGTAAAATGATGATTTTTGTGTCAATGTAGGAGGAAGTGAAAAAGCTAAATAGCAGATTTATCTCGTCTCAGGGGATAATGAGTGTTGCTCGACCATTCAATAGTATAACTGGGTCTCAAACAATGGAAAGCTTAATGCAAATGGGTGGAGTGTCCCTTTAATGTTTTTGGTGGGATTCATTGTTTAAAGTGGACGAATGGCGAAATAGTCATGTTTGCTCCATATTTAGCACTCTACCACTGGGCCCTGATCAGATCTTGCCGCGAGGAGCTCAACTCAGGAACACACAGTGGGTGCACGGTATCGTGGTCTACACAGGGCACGACACCAAACTCATGCAGGTGAGTTGTCCGTTTCAGTCCACTTTAGTCAGATCCCAAATCCAGCTTTATCCTGAGAATCCCTGATGATCTGTGTCCACCAGAACTCCACACGCCCGCCTCTGAAGCTTTCCAATGTGGAGCGCATCACCAACTTTCAGATCCTCGTGCTTTTCGGCTGTCTCTTGGCCATCTCGTTGGTTTGCTCCATCGGCCAGACCATCTGGAAGTATCAGTACGGCAATGACGCCTGGTACATGGATCTCAACTGTAAGAACCAGACCCCTCCCTTCCTTCTGTCATGCTAGACCGCTTGCGCGTCTATGTGTGCTTTCATTTTTTTTCGTCAGTAATTTTTGTCTTCCCTCTATGTAACATGCAACAAATATGCATTGCATATGTGAATATTTGTCAATAAAAAGGGAAAGGAGAATCTTTCCCTTTTAGTTCTAATATGCATAGACACGTGAATGTATAAATGGTTGAATATCACAAACGCTGCTGTACTATTTTTCGTTCGTTTTGTTATCAGCTTCCTTTCTAACATTCTGTTTGGTTTGTGTTTTTTGTTTCTTTGTTGTTGTCATTTTCTTAACAGCTCCAGGTAACAACCATTTAAAACCCTTGGCCATCTGTGAATGACCCCTCCTTACTAACCCCTAACTGAAGCTCAGCTTTTGCTAAGCTACCGAAGCCACTTATATGGTTGCCCTACTTTGAGGGGGTAATTGCAGAGGACTGCACACATACACCAGGAATCCAATGATAGGTTTTTCCCCTCCAGCTCTACACTGTGTAGACCCTCTTAATGCCTGATGTCAAAAAACTTGCCCCCCCCCTTCCTTTATTTTGGTGACACGTTAAACACTTCGCAAGCTCAGGCTTCGGCCACGCCAGCGTCCTTTTGCTCGTGCCTAACTAATGAGGCATGACAGTAAGCCTCGGACCCAAAGAAACACACGTGGAGAGGAGCAAGTTACCCAAGGGCCTTGTCAGAGCAAGAGTTTGAAATGTATTCCCGTGTGGAAGCAGAAGACCCTGGAGGTCAAACCGTGACATTTTCTAAATGCCCCCCTTTTCCTCTTACCCACCTCCTCCTCGTTCTGCTGCGTTTGTTTTACTGGTGCTGGCAGACGAGGCTGAAAAGGCTCTCTCTGGAGGAGATGAGCAAATCCATGCTAATAGGCTTAATGTTTGGATTGTAAAAGTTTGATATTAAGAAATACAACACCGCCATTCATTTTTAATGAATAGTGATGGGAACATCTGTTGTGTGCCTGGAGCATCGCAGGTGATTTGAAAAAGAGAAAAACAGACAATTTTGCACACCAACGAGATGCGAGAATGTTACATTTGCGTCAGGAGCCATTTGCAAATTGATTAACATGTCACCACCATCATTATTCTTGATTTAAATAGGAGGGGCTGTTTGTGTCCAAATCGATCGCAGCTTGTTTTATGGCCTACACGGTTCCCTACTTGGTATGCTCTGTGAGTTCTTTGAAAATGTTGTCAAATGCTGAGATGCACCACCGTGAATGCTGGGCTCCATCTGTAATTATTCACATCCACCGCAATCATTTGGAATGGAAATATCAATGATGTTGGGCGTCATGTGAGGTAACGGTGAGGTCATAAAGCAGGTATCCATCATGAAATTAATTATTCCTCTAAAGGAGGGGGACTTGGTCTTCTATGTTTTTTGTTTGCCGTCCTAGTGGAACCGTAAAAGCGAGAGGTGGCATTGATTTGTTGTTTACATGCTTTTGCTGGTCATATTTACGATATAAACCAAGGACACTTCCTGCTCTTCAGTCAGAGGTATGCTCAAGATGGTTTATAATATCTGGAGGGAACTACACTACCATTCAAAATGAAGCTGTGCCATCACAGGAAAAAAAAACATTTTAAAATGAGATTAAAATATATAAAAAAGAAAATCATTGTTTTAAATTGTAATAATATAATATAATATAATTGCATAAGAGACTTCTTTCAAAAACATTTAAAAATCTTACCAACCTCAAACTTTTGAATGGTACCAGAGACTATTTATACAGAGACATGCCAATTCTTCAATCCTTAATACAACTATATAGGGAAAACCCTGTATAACCAAAGATGGGTTGTATGCACATGCCCCGCCCCTCCCATTGGAAAGCCAATCGTCTGCTTTTAACAGTCAAGCCGGGAAACATTTACAGTAAGCCTATCGTCTGGTTCCACCGACGCATGCGCACAGTTGAGGTTTGCGACAGCGGAAAATACGTTACAGTTTGAAAAGGCGGCAGATTTGATATGCAGTGTATGTGTGTGTTGTGTAAATATCAGACATCCCAAGTCTCCCGGAAGTTCCAGGAGTCTCTCGCAGATTGATAGCGACCACAAATTAGTTCAAATCTCCCGGAATCTAGAGCGAGCAGTATAAGTATAACCTGTGGGGGAAAAGGCGTTTTAAACCTTATTTTGGGGCAAAGTCATCAAACTTTTTCAGCAATTTTTATCATATTTTATTACTGTTTGTATACAAGCAGTTTTTATGTCCCGATGACCAGTGAAAGTGCAGCTGCCCATTCATTTAGATAGGAGCATGGTCTTGTTAGTCCGAAATAGCTGTCCGGAGGCGCTGCCAAGATGGTGGCCTAGTGGCATGACTTGCCTAAAAGGACTTTGATGGTAGTGTATCTATGTAGTTTAGAGTGCCGAAGTGATGACGTCACTTTGTAAGACAACTCGGAAGTTAGCGGCGCATGGGTTCCCTCGATCGAAAAGCTATGCATTTTCCCCACAGACTTTTGGAAAATCGCAAAAAATAAGATCTGTGTTCAACAAAGATTTGTGACCCTTACACGTTTTGTCTTTCAAGATAATCTTAGATAAACAAGTTTATCCAAAATTTATTCATTTTGAAGCCTATATAAAGTTTTTTAAAAACACAAGCAGACACAATAAAGTTTAAAAAAAAAACTACAAGCTGGTTATAACTGGTCTGTTTTATGTCATAGATTAAAACGTGAAAATATTTAGAGGCTTTGTTAACCACAGACCTTATTTCAGGCGATTTTGCAAAAAACCCATTCAAAAATCCCATAGACTTTAGAGCGAGGGAACCGGGAGTGCTAAAATGCTAACTCACTTCCGCGTTTTGGCCTACAAAGTGACGTGATAACTTCAGCACTCTTTTGCCATTCATTTCAGTGCTAGTTGCACAAGTAAGAAATTTGAAAACTATTTAGTCGGAATGCCAACTACTTTTTTAAATGGATGTCAATGGAGAAAATCCTTTTTGCATAAAGATGGTGTAGTTACAACATCTGCAAAGTAACTGGGTCAGGCTAACCAGCCAACTCTTGACCTCTTGGCCATGATTGCATCTGTTTGGTTTTGTTCTGCTGGACATCAGGATAGGATTCATCCCTAGAGGTGAAAACAATGCAGTATGCTAAGGTTTCCAGATTGGGTTAGCAGGCGTACACACGATGAATACACACCTTCCACTCATTAATCTAAGCATTGCACACTTCAAGCAGATGAGTAATTATTCATAATAAATAATTCATTTGACTTTGAACCCCTGTGATGTTTTGGCTTTGGCTTCTGTCCCAGTAAGTATCCAAATCAATGCACATGGCTCTATGCAGATTGAGCTACTGTATGGGCTAGAGCTGCAGTCGTTTGTTATGCATGCGCACCACCTGCATCAACAGTCACCCATGTTGAACTCCTGACCATGAAATAACAGGTAGCAGGTTTTGTGCTGCACAAATGCTGACGGGTGTCTTGAGAAGTGCTGACCCTACAGCGTGACTCCTTGCTGCACTGATGTCACTGGACCTGCAGTAGTTTAGAGAGATACTGTACGTGCTGCATCTTCCACTGCTTCAGAAGGCTGCTGTGAGCATATGTAGATGGGTGGATATTAATGATTAACCTTGGTCTCATTTAAACTCATTTATATTGAATGCAGAGAAAGGATTTATTGCTTCTTCATATATAGCAGTTTATACATAGAAAACAGCTTCACAATAATTAACAAGACTAGAAAAGTCTTTTAAGAGTAGATGACTGTTCAACAGTCAAGCAAGAAATAAGTTGTTTAACTTGGTATGTACTCTTAGTTGTGCATTTCCAGTGCAGCAAAAATCTTCCAACAGGAAAGGTCTTCTTCAGCCGACAAACAAGAGACCATTTCAAACCTTCCAAATTATTGAAATATCTCTAAATGTCACATCTCTCTTTTCGGCTTCACATTATGGGAAGGTACTTTGGACTGAGTCCCCCTTCTTTACATTGAAACATCCAAACTGATTGTCTTCCTTCCCACCACTAGCCAAATCCTCTTCCTCTCTGTGTGAGTCAGTTCCAATAGCAGTTGTATGATTGCCCAGCCTCTTTAGTTCTATGATTCTGTATGGAAAAGCACTCCCTCTCCTCCTAACTGCTCAGAAAGAGCATTATTGCACTCTGCGGACCCCTCCCCCTGCCCCCCCTCCCCCAGGTAAAGCTTTTTATTAATACTTAAAGTCAACACGAAATCAAAATTAAACCCATTCACCTTAACTCGTTGGTCTCACCATTTCATGAGTGGTTGATGTTAACCAATAGCCAATTTCTTTTTTGATTATTGATGCACTAAAACAATCTTACAGACCTTTTGAATGGTAATTATTTAGAAAAAAGTCTTAAGGATGCATTTATTTGATTGTAAAAAACAGTAAAAACAACATTATTGTCATTACTGTTTTAATATATTTTAATGTGATTTATTCCTTTTGGACAGTCTTCAGTGCCACATGATCCTCCAGAAAGCATTCTAATATTCTGATTTGTTGCTCAAGAAACATTTATTATTATCAATATTGAAAACTGGTGGTACTTAATATTTTGTGACGATACATATTTTTCAGGACTCAGCATTTATTTGAAATAGAAAACATTTGTAACATCATAAATGTTAAAGTGCGTCCTTGTTGAATAGAAGTATTTAATAAAAAAAAAATACCCCAATTATTTGAACAATTAGGGTTAAAAGTAAAATGGGTTGTGATTGTTGTTTCATGTTGACTTTAATTCTGTCTGAGCTGTCTTGTGTCTGTGGTCTTGTTTTTATCGAGTACACTTTTTTTTTTTTCTTTGTGCTGCTCTCTTTGTTAAATTTGGTGTTTAAGATAGGAAATCATGATCACCCACCCCAGTGCATTGTGGGTATTGCTTTGAATTTTGCTCATATTGCCAAGGCTTCTGCTATGTTGTCAAAGACTCGAGAGTCAGCTTAGCTACTAATTAATGGAGACCTAATTAGAGAATTGAATGTAAATTCCTAGGTTAGAGTCTTATCAGAGAGATTGGTTGAAAGAGTGGAATTTGCCCAGATTAGTGTTTGCACAACGCTCGCACAACGCTAGTGGAGCATTGTGGAAACGTTGCAAATTAGACCCAGATGAGCTTGTGGCATTGTCCTTCCATCATCCCTTCCAAATTCAGCCCATCCCATCATGCCTTTCCTTGCTCAGAAACCTGTCTGTCACCTCACTTCCACTTTCTCCTCTTCCTTCCCTCGCTTTTCTTTTTCCAGATGGTGGAGCAGCTAATTTTGGCCTGAACTTCCTCACCTTCATCATCCTCTTCAACAACCTGATTCCCATCAGTCTTCTGGTGACTCTAGAGGTCATCAAGTTCGTCCAGGCTTTCTTCATCAACTGGGTGAGTGCGAGTCTGAGCCACAGGAGCTGTTCCTGCTTGATGAATCTGCTGTCTTTGAAATGCAGACTGCTTAAACCTCCAGGGCCAATCCTAGAAAACTTCACAGCCCAAATGAAAGTGGAGCTTTATCAAAATAACCCATATGAAGATGCCAAAATTGGATTTAGGGCAGGGCGCTTAAAGCACAGATGCAATGGAGTTTTAAGTTTTCACTGAATGGCAAGACTTTTGAGTGGAGGTTGCTTTGATTGACAGAGTATGAAAATAAAAGAAGTGTTAGTCATGTTTTGGAGTCCAGATGGCAAGGTATTAATAAAAAATGGTTGTGAATATTAATTTACACTGTCATTTAGGACACTGACATGCTGTATGAAGCCACCAACACACCAGCTATGGCCCGGACATCAAACCTGAATGAGGAGTTGGGACAGGTACTGATTGTTCTCAATTTTCAATTTCAGAAATAAACAAAAGTGGATGAATGAAAATGAAAAATAAAACCAATATTTTAATTTTAGTTTACCTTTGCTGTGATCACTTAAAGGTGCATTGCGCAACATTTCATGTTAAAAATACCCCATACATGATTAAACAATTGGCTGATGGGCTGAATGAGCCAGTAAAATGAATAAGAGGGATTCGGGGCGGAATTTGAGACTGGACGTGATGTCTGCTTACTTTTACCTAATTTACTGTAGTTTATTGCTCTCTTGTTCCTAAAACCAGGTTAAGTACATCTTTTCGGACAAGACGGGCACCCTGACCTGCAACGTCATGCAGTTTAAGAAGTGCACGATTGCAGGCGTGGCCTACGGGTAAGGCTCTGTTTCACATTGCTTTCATAATCAGTAGATTGCACATCTGGCTCTAGCTGTCTTGTCCTCAGCTCCCTTGTTAGCAGCTGCCTCGATGCTTCCCTGCACAGCCAGAGTGATTCTATAAATATCAGAGAAGGGGACTCGCTCATGCTCAGATAGGAACACAGTGTTTCAGGTTGACTATTTGTCTAATTTGGGACGTTTTTATGTCTATTCTAATTCTAGATGTAGAAAATTGTGTGAGGTTTTACATTTATAAGCCTAAAGTTTTGTGAAAGATTAGATTTCCATTGTGCTATGTGAGTGTTTTTGAAGAAACGTTTCTCAGCGTGTGGCAGAGGAGACAATGATGGCATAGCTCTCTTCCATATCTGTGTCTTTCCTTCTCACCAGATAGATGTTATGATCACAGTGATGTTTATGGTAAGCAGTTTACGAAAGATGAGGCGTATTGGGCAAGGTCACGTCAGGGCCACGGCACTGAGATTATTGGATGTTTACATGCACAAGGTCTCTAGATCTTATCACAGACACGCCATCCATCACAAAATACAATCTTGTATTCACATTCATGCTTAATAGTGCCTCTTTACGTTCTTCATTCAGAGAATAAAGCACATCTAAATGATCAGCATTAGGAGCAGCATTAATCCCATTAACTCAATTAAAACTCTTCTGAGATCAGGAGATTCAAGAGGCAGTTCCATTGTGACACCTAAAGGAAAACACTTGGTGGAAATATTCAATTCAAAATGTTGAAATGTATTTAGATTTCCAGTGCTAATGCTTGCAAGACGGCAAACGATTGTATTTATTTTTTGAGGGTTTTAATTTATTAAATGCTGTATTACACTCACCTGAGGCACCTGTCACACTTGGAGTTTATTCTCTTTATATTGAGCCAGGAGGTCAGTCTGTGATGTTTAATTTGTCTATTGGTCTGAAGTTGTCTTCTGAGTTCACTTGCAGGTTGGAGTTTTCCAAACTTGACATTTGGTACACAGAAAAAAATATGTGGCGAGCTTTTTGTTTCTGGTCTTGTTTTCTGTGTGCTGTTCATGAGAATCAACACGCAAATAAATTCATTATGCCAATATTACAATGATCTCATCACTGACCGATTTTATATGATGATTTTCATAGTCATTTTATACTTGATCAAAAGTTTGGTGTCAATTTTTTTTTCTTTTTTTCTTTTATGCTCACCAAAGCTGCATTTATCTGATAAAAAACAGTAATATTGTTTTCTATTGTGATATATTTTAAAATGTAATTTATTCCTAACTTAATTTTCCTTACATGATCCTTCAGAAATCATTCTGATATACTGATTGGGTGCTTAAGAAACATTTTCTATTATCAGTGTTGAAAACAGTTCGGCTGTTTAATATTTTTGTGGATACTGATAAAAAAAAGAAGGAATTAACATTATAAATGACTTTACTGAAAAACTGACCCCAAACTTTTGAACAACATGTCGTCTGAACATCCGCACGTTACGTTTAAGAGAATATAATCAGCGAGATCATGCACAAGATCAAGCTCATTCGCTCACCCTCTAATTCTACATCCTTGACCTTTGCACCAGGCAATGCTGATCCCTCCTAAGCCTAGCCTGGGAAAACCCAGACAACTTCCGGCAAATTTAGGTTTGCTCTGAAAGTTAGTCTGGCAAAAAACTCATTCAAGCCCATTTCCAATCCGTCGAAATCGGGGCACCAATCAGAAGCATTGGGGGCGGGCTTTACACGATGACGACAGCGCTGGGAATTTGAAGCAGATTTTGTAGCCTACATTACATTACTTGGATGTCGCGTCGAACATCACTCGTTCGAATCAGCCATCGCGTCTGTTTTAAGCGATTTGAACGTTTCTTTTTTGTTAAAAACCGAGCAAAGAACAACACTCGGAGATGTTTCTCCGCCACTCTGCATATATCATCTCCTTCATCGCTCTGATTGGTTTTGGATCTATCCGCGATGTCCGTTGGTGGCGCCCCTCTGGAAATGATTTGTCTATGACGCTTTGCCAGACCAAAACTCAGTTACAACTGAGAATGGTCTGGTTTTCACCAGGCTATCCTAAGCCAGCATCATTCCTCAAGCCATTCTTCTAGATATTTCTCTCTACATAGAGGGATCCCTCTGCTTATCCATTGGTGAAGTCATCATGGTACCCGTTTATTCTCTCTCAAGTATGTTTTACAGCTCTTTTACTTTAAACTGGGCCACTGTATATTTCAGAAGTGAGTCGTCCTCCACCTCCTGAATATTGATGCCATATTTTATCAGCTTCAAATAAACTTGGTCCCATTTGATGATGCATCCCTCCTCTTCCCCCACATCTCCTATTGCTGGGCATCGGAGCGAGTACAGCCACCAAACCAAGTCATTGATGTTTTTGAAGCGTGACATCTTTTCTTGCAGTGAGTGGAGAAACTTGGCACAAGCCCAAAGGAAGAGGTTGATGTGAAATGTAGCCTAGATTTTTGACTTGACATGTTTGTCGGACTGGAAAAACCTACATGCTGCTAGTGTAGCATGTTGGAGTTCTGGTGTTAATGTTGAGATGAGCTGACATCTTTGCACTAGACCTTGCATTTTATGTCTCTTTTGTGTTTCTGTCCGAGTTGAATTTCTTGAATTTCTCAGATTTTGCGTTCACGTCTTCATTGAAAACTCTCCCCTTTTGCCAAAAAAATCTCAAGGCATCTCCACAGTGACTACACTAATAACACCAGCACACAATTTTATATCTCAATTATGTTCATTTACACTTCTAAACCAATCTCGTTCATTTAGTAAACAAAGGTTTGGTCTGCCGGTGTCATATGTAGACCAAGAGGTCGAAAAGTTGGTTTTGATATAATCTCAGATGTCATATCTTTGACTTATTTTATTTAAGCTATTTTAACATTTTTTGGCTGTTTTTGTCTAATATGTTATTTTACTTTTGTTTAAATAAAAAAAATGTAGTTTTTGTTAAAAATAAACAACATCGTACTGTAGACTTGCACACGTGCTGGTGTCTGTCAACATTGGACCGTTTTCTATCCTCATAGACTAAATTTAAGACATTTGATAGCCATTTGTCTCACGTACAACGAAGATTTGACATCGTCACAAAAGTGTGCGATGTGTTTTGGCTCCTCATGACTCTTTCCCCCCTACTTGTGTTACGTTGCACAGCTAAGTAGAACAGTAATTAATGAGGAAATCCCTTTGGCTAAAGATGTTAATTAATTTAATGAGATTTCATGGAGACATGATGGCCAAAGTGCTCTTTAGCCCTCAGCACTAGAGGAAATTATTGTATCTGATCTCATTTTTTTTTTTTTCCTTAATTCTTTGCTTTTGGAACTGTCATAACTGTGTTTGGGTTGTAAGGCTAGGCAGTCTTGCTTGGATAATTTGCACTTCCTTTTCTTATTTATAGGCCTACATCAGGGTCTCCTCTGGCCCCATCTCCTTTGCGACTTATTAAAAACACATTAATGTGTGGCCTTGATCTAGCTTGGCATATTACCTAATAGCATTATCTAATGTGTGAGTATGCAAGGGATTTAAGAAGAAACCATTGTAAGAGCATAGAGTGTAGTCTCGGGCAGAGACATAGAGTTCTGCTTTTGCCTTTTGTTCATTGTTTGTGAATTGTTGTGTGTTAATGTCCAGCTGTACTCACCCCACCCCCAAATATCTCTCCGGTTAGACATGATCTCATCTGTGCAACGAACATGGAAACTGATAAACATTTCCCATTTAGGTCAAGTGGAAGTAGGGGTCTGAATCCATATTTTCAGAATAAGAGAAACATAATATATACTATTTGTTTATGTTATTGTATAGCTAAATTGCCAAGTATATTCATTTACCAAACAGATTTTTATGGAACAACTTGGGGTTCAACCAGAGTTGGAGTCTTGATCCTTTATAATATGAATGTGACTTCAGTCTTAGTCTCATTACTTAAAAAAAAAAAAAAAAAAAAAAAACGTTTTTTTTTTTTTTTAAATGCTGCAGTAATTTCAGCATTTTTTGTATTTTGGTTAATTAATAAAAAGTAAAATAGTCAGATAAGATTTTACGAAATGGATTTTTTGGAATATTTAGACAAATAAAATGTAAAATATGTGATATTTAAATGCTTTTATGATCTAAGCACTGTAGTTTAATTGTTGAGGGCAAAACAGTGCAATGCTACAAATAAACATTTCTCAATATCCCTATACTGTAAGTTGCTCCTAATATGTGTTCATCTTGAAATATTGCTAACAATATACTTACTGAATAACTTATTATTATGTTTACTTCATAAAAAATGTATTAAAGATTTCACAGAAAATAGACACATGTATCACAACCTGAAGGGGAGTGTTTTAGAATACTAAAATGTCTTTTCCTAGGTAATTTGATGACAGAAGGCATGTAATAGATTGTGCAAAATTTTGATTATGTTGGTAATTTAGAGGTCTTTTAGGTAAATTTGATTCCAACTTTGATTTCAGTTCTTTGCAATGTGTTGTTTTTGACTGACAAGGCTGGATTTAAGCCTTAGAGTCAAAAAGTCGATCGTGGATCTGGACTTGACTCCAATTCTGGTTTGAACCTGCAACATTAACAGCCATAATCTTTACCAACTAGGCTGCACCACCTTTTTTAACAAGTACTTTTGAGAGTCTGTTTGAAGGGAGCTGAGGTAGTGCAGTTCTGCAGGGATACTTTGGTGCAAGTCTCTCAGGTATCCTACTGCTTTTCTCTTCTTGTTGCTCTAAGCTCTTTTCTCAGTAACAACCCAAAAGGCTCTGACACGGCTAGCATTTGTCTTTTTTAAACCATGCTTGTTTTAAAAGACCCAAGTCCCACCCGTCTGCTGAAATCTGTTTTGTTTGGATGCTGAAGAAGTCGTCGAGTCTAATACCTGCAGGACTTGTGTTGGCCTATATTAGTGTAAATGCACTGTTCCCCCCTGCTGAAATGCAGTTCTTATGTTTCAGCGTACTAAACAATTCTCTTGCCCCTGAGGCTGATGGTACAGAGTCAGATATGTGCATGACCAGTCAACCTGCCTTTTGTATTTTGTAGTTTCGGTCAAGTCATAATTTGGGTTTGAAATACGCCACATGAAGCACTTAGGTCAATGCTAATGCTTTTTACCCAATAGGGCAATATTTTGTCAATGTAGGATCATTAATAGCATATTGGACATTTACAGATTTTTTTCTTTCATTTTCCAATTTCTTTTCCTTTCACTTTTCTTATTTAATCAATTTTCTCTTCGTTTTCCTTTTCTCTTTTCTTTCTTTTTGTTTTCCTTGCTTTTCTGAATTTATGTACTCCTACATTCATGACAAACCCCATTTAAAAAGTACTATGGCTGCACCATGATAAATTGACCGTATCAGACCGTAGTACTTTGATGTATACCATGATACTGAATGATTTCCATATTCACGGACCATGTAAAGGAGACTTCAAATAATACGTGACATGGATGGTACATGTCCACAAATCTATGTACTATGGTTGGGACTTATAATACCATGTGACACGTGGCATTCGTTATTATTGTGTTGTGCACATTGCTCTTCCAAAACGATTTCTACAATACACACAACTTTTTTTTTTTTTTTTTTTTCCCTAGTGTGCTATTCTCCCGTTGTGTCATAATATTAACTTTGCTCATTCTAACTTTTTCCCTCACCAGTGTCTGGTCCCTAAACACATGGTCAGGCCAATGTCCACTCATATTACAATTAACAAAGCCCTCAACAGCGAATCTGTTGACCTGAGCAAAGATGCGAGAATAATGTTTTCCTGTCAAGCCGGCAGCAGTGGCTGTGTCTCCCCATCCCAGCAGAATCGGTTTAGCAGCCAGCAATTCATCCACTGCCCCTCCGCTAGCACTAGCTTGTCTTAGTCTTTCTAGAAAATGTAGCCATTCCAGTATTCATCTAATTATTTGGCTTACTTTGGATTTGTGCTCTTTTAATTAACTGTAGTCACAGTTCTTGGTTAGTTATTCTCCCTTACCCTTCAAATTCATGTGAGGTCTGTTGCATTAAATCTGATTATTTGTTAGACAATTAGTATGGATAAATATTAGAGTTTTACCTTGCAGTGAATACATTTTTAATCATTAATTTTGGATTAATGCTTATGCATCTCACAAAATCCTTTTAATGAATTTTTGTCTAACTTTTCTTAACGTGTTGCCAGGAATTAGTTTTACGAAATATAAATTGGGTTTATTGAGATGCATCTGTTCATGTTAATTATGAATTAAAGCATAAATATAATAATATATTGTCACTGCTTTCTGTTCAAAGTATATCAATAAACCCATTTCTATAGATGTGATGTATTGCACTGGCAGTCAGAGATGGGTAAACGTGGTCATTTGGGTTGTGTTTTTGTCTGTAACTCTCTTCACTCCACCCTACAGTCATGCAGCTGAAGTTGAGGATGGTAGTTTTGCGGAGGAGGACTGGTAAGGAGCAACACCATTGGCTGTATGTTTTATGCTTCTGTGATGTGTTCTTGCTGTGATGCCTTGTGAGGAATGTGGTTTGAGCCCTTTTCTTGTGATGTGGTTGTGTTTGTTGGACTTTGTCTGCACTGTGTCACCCTAAATTAGTGTGAAGACAGGTTCCTGTTGAATGTAAATTAAAAAGGAGCTGTTGTCTGATTTTCTGTGGTGTGCTGGTTTGATTGAATAATATAAATCTGTTGTTTTTGGCTGTTCTGTATGGTTGAGACAGCAGCAGGTGTTTTCTATTGTAGAGTTTGTCTTTGATTTCTCAGCTCAAACTTGTTTAATATAGAATATTTTTTTGTATATGAACCTCTCTATGGTGTAACTTTTGCTAAATATATAGAACCTAGTAACTGTCAAAAGTTTGGAAATGTTATTATCTATTGTGCAATGTGGTGCATTGTGGGAGTTGTTGTCTTGCATACAAATGCGTCCTTTCTCATTTTCTGTCTTTTCTCGGTCAAGAGGGCACCAAATTCAAAGATCCTTTTGCATTTCGACTACATATGATCCACTTTCTTTAAAGGTTAATGTTGAAATGGGTGAAATGCTCCTTTAAAAGCTTGTCCAGTAAGAGTCCTTACATGCTGGAATGCCTGCTTGGTGTTCATATTTGCAAAGTCCTGCTCCAGTTTGTTTTTATAATTATTTTTCGCTTTAAAGTTTTCATTTTTGATATCCTGATTTATTTATTTTTAAACCAGTGGAGTCCTTTTGCCTAAAGGCAAGTTTTCTCTTCTTGAAAAGATATTTTATCTGTGGATTAATCCATGGTTTTGAGTTGAAATATGCCTGCTTTGCAATCTCTTTGAAACTACATTGCTTGGCGGAGGAATAAATGTGTTATAACTTTATATTTTTTTGGTGCTGGTGTTTATTTTATGAATTTTATTTTAGTAATCGTTTAATAAAAGCTCTGCTCCGCCTCGTGCCTAACAACAGTCCTTAGCTGTTCTAAATTCACTGCAAAACACAGCTTTGTATGGCGTATTGCTTTATTCAACATTGATAATAATAATAAATATTTCTTGAGCAGCAGATCAGTATTTTAGAAGGATTTCTGAAGGAAATGTGACATTAAGGACTGGAGTAATGATGCCGTAAATTCAGCTTTCCTTTTGAATCACAGGAATTAATTACTTTTTTAAATGAATTAAAATAGAAATGTTATTTATTTTAAATTGTAATGTTTCACATTATCGTTTTTACTGTATTTTTGATCAAATAAATGCCGCCTTGATGAGCATAAGAGACTTTTCAAAGACACAAAAGATTGTGAAAATAACTTTCCATACTTTTTTGTCAGGCGCACTGTATAGCAAATGTTACGCCATTTCGCAAAAGTTTTCTGATTTCAGTCTACTCTATGGTTGCTGTCCCTATGTATCCTGTAGTTAAAGGTCTGCTTAAAGAACACAGTGATGTACTGTATATAGATTTGTGACCAGTCTCCAGGATTGAACTTTTAGAAAGCAATGCATATCATCATGACACACTTTATGATTTGTAACTGGAACAGCCAAACTCGTGACACATTAATTTTAGACAAACTACTAAAATATAAATGGAGCTCCAGCTTGAAAATTGTACTTTCCATTTGGACATTACTTAAATATCCCTCAGAGCATATGAGAAGCATAAACCCTGACTGACATCACTTTATGTGGTAAAATTGTTCTGGGTTTCACCCCAAATTTCACCCCAAATAAGAAAAAATAAAAATCATATTCTAAATAAAAACTATAAAAGACTGTTCTCATTTGCTGCTAAATATATATTATTTACATTTATTTATAACATTAATGCTGTACATTACTCACCCTCAAGTTGTTCCAAACCTGTATGAGTTTCTTTCTTCTGCTGAACACAAAAGAAGATATTTTGAATAATATGGGAACTAACAGCTGATGGACCCCATTGACTTCCATATGATAATAAAAAATAAAAGACCATTCTCGTTTAATGCTAAATATATATTATTTACATTTATTTATAACACTGTACATTATTAATATTTACTTTACTGCATTTATACTGATTACAATTTCAATGTATAATATTTTATTTTTACTTTTTTTATATAGTACGCTTTCTAAATGTACATTTATTGTTACAGTAGCAGCGTTATAAATGAAATCAATCTTCCACATCCAGCATGAACCCCATGAGGACAATTTGCACTTAGTGAACGGGGCTCAAGAGATAGTGTCCCTAGAAGAGCAGGATTCCTGTGGAGAGAATTCAAAGTCATATTGTGTGCATTAGATTGAATATCTTCGTAACTCAAATATTTTACAAGCCCATCAGATATTGATATTAAAATCTTTATCTTTAGCAAGTCTGTCAGGTTTATCTAATAAAGCCTAGTAGGGGTTTTATTGCACTCAAAATATAACATATATATCAGAATAATGTTTCTACAAATTGAAAATGGATTTTTGTAAAATGAAATTAAATAATGAATATTAACTCAGACTCTTTCTAGAGCAGAATCCTGAAATTGAGTTTCTTTTGTGGAAAATCCAAAAGAAGAAATGCTGATTACATTGGACCCCATTGACTTTTATTGTAAAGACAAAGGCACATTTTTCAAAACATCATCTTTTTGTGTCCATAGAAAAAAACAAGGAAAGTCATACAGTTTTGGAAGGACATGGAGGTGACATTTTTAATTTTGGAGTGGGCTATTTATCTAACTAAATATGTATTTTAAAGGGATAATTCACTCCAAAAAGAAAATTGTCATCATTTACTCCCCCTCAAGTTGTTCCAAACCTGTATGAGTTTCTTTCTTCTGCTGAACACAAAAGAAGATACAGTATTTTGAATAATATGGGAACCAACAGCTAATGGACCCCATTGACTTCCATACTGTATGATAATAAAAAATAAAAGACCATTCTCATTTACTGCTAAATATATATTATTTACATTCATTTATAACATTAATGCTGTACATTATTAATATTTACTTTACTGCATTTATACTGATTACAATTTCAATGTATAATATTTTATTTTTACTTTTATATATATTATTGCGCTTTCTAAATTTACATTTATTGTTACAGTAGCAGCGTTATAAATGAAATCAATCTTCCACATCCAGCATGGACCCCATGAGGACAATTTGCACTTAGTGAACGGGGCTCTAGAGATCTCTATAGTGTCCCTAGAAGAGCAGGATTCCTGTGGAGAGAATTCAAAGTCATATTGTGTGCATTAGACTGAATATCTTCGTAACTCAAATATTTTACAAGCCCATCAGATATTGATATTAAAATCTTAATCTTTAGCAAGTCTGTCAGGTTTATCTAATAAAGCCTAGTAGGGGTTTTATTGCACTCAAAATATAACATATATCAGAATAATGTTTCTACAAGTTGAAAATGGATTTTCGTAAAATGAAATTAAATAATGAATATTAACTCAGACTCTTTCTAGAGCAGAATCCTGAAATTGAGTTTCTTTTGTGGAAAATCCAAAAGAAGAAATGCTGATAACATTGGACCCCATTGACTTTTATTGTAAAGACAAAGGCACATTTTTCAAAACATCATCTTTTTGTGTCCATAGAAAAAAACAAGGAAAGTCATACAGTTTTGGAAGGACATGGAGGTGACATTTTTAATTTTGGAGTGGGCTATTTATCTAACTAAATATGTATTTTAAAGGGATAGTTCACCCCAAAAAGAAAATTGTCATCATTTACTCCCACTCAGGTTGTTCCAAACCTGTATGAGTTTCTTTCTTCGGCTGAACATAAAAGAAGATATGGGAACCAACAGTTGATGGACCCCATTGACTTCCATATGGTAATAAAAAAAACTATGGAAGTCAATGGGGTCCATCAACTGTTTGGTTACTGACATTCTTCAAAATATCTTCTTTTGTGTTCAGCAGAAGAAAGAAATTCATACAGGTTTGGAGTAAATTATGATGGTTTTTATTTTTGGGTGAACTATACCTTTAATAACAAAAAATTAGTCTCAATGCAGATAGATCAAGCAAATGCTGTTTTGCAAATTTAATTTAACTGCTGAGTATCATTTTTATTAAATAGTTATTTTTGGAGTGTAAACAAGTTGTGTGTGTAAAGCAAGAATAAAAGCATACATAACAAATAATGATGGCTGAAAGGACCGGGTTCCTTGTAGCAAAACAATTGTTTGTTTGTTTTTTCCAGATAAAAGCTTCTGGAGAATTTCATCATTAACTTATGCACTGTATATGCAGTATCTGTCTTTGGCTGTGAGCATTAAATCTGCAGGACATGATTGTAGCTTCATTTGAGCGGTGAAGCCATGTGCAGGGGAACAATGGAAGCGTGTTTGCATGTGTCTTGTGGGAGTTGTGTAAGCAACACTGACATATGCCTCGTGCCCTTCCACCTCTGCTGTTTACTTTGTTTTTCCCCTCTCACAAACATGCTCACATTTAAACAATGGTGAGCTGCTTACTTTTCAGTGGAGCTGTAATAGGAAATGCTGCAGTGGGCTGTGTGGTGCGTGTGAGAGAGAGAGAAATAACGTGTTTATCTGTTATAGTCCATTATAGTTCAATACTGCAGTAGATTGCGGGAGGGATATGAATGAATGAGCAAAATAGGGCCATCGAGGGCTGATAACTACAGTGTCGCATTCAGTTTCCATGGAGACGATTGTCCGTTGGGCTTTGGATCACCAATAACACAGAGGCTGTCTTCAGAATGCAGTAGCGTGCACTGTCTACTCTGAATACTGCTTACTACTCCTATAAATAGCATGTGATGCTATATGCATTATGTAACGTTAAGCATTTCTAGCGGTTATATGCACCATCATTGTCACATGACCTCATTACTTATGTTTAATTGAGCCAAAGTTATCTCGAAAATAACACACAAAATTATGGTGGCAAGCTAATTTTGTATTAAAGTCTTGGGAAAGTCAAATGATGAGTTAGGACGTTAAAAATTGCAATAATTATTATAAAGCTTCCTGCTCATTCATGATGTTTAATTTGTGCAGTGTTATCTGCATTTATTTGATCACAAATACAATTTAAAAAAAAACAATAAAATATTATTACAATGTAAAATAACTTGTTTTTCTTTTTTAATTAATTTGTAAATGTAATTTATTCTTGTGATGGCAAAGATTCAGTGTCACATTTTAGAAATCATTCTAATATGCTGATTAGATGCTTAAGACCTTTAATATATATATATATATATATATATATATATATATTAATTTAAAAAAAATTTTGTGTGTTTTTTAATAGAACGCTCAAAAGAACAGCGTTAATTTGAAATGGAATTCTTTTGTAACATTAGAAATGCCTTTACTGTCACTTTTGATCAATTTAATGCATTCTCATTGAATAAAAGTATTAATTAATAGGAAAAAGAGGAGATTAGAAATGAATAGGAAGCTGTAAACGTACATTTATTATTTTATAGTATGAAATATGCTGTGTCATTGTATTTCTATGTGTATATGCACCCTAGCTTTTGCTCAAAGCTCTCCGTCAGTGCGGCGGCAGAGATCCTAATGTTCACGTTGCATGGTATGTGGCTTTTTCTGTTCGGAAACTACACTTTCTGCTGGTTGCACATTCGGACTGATGTTTGACCAATGCATTTTGACACGTTTGAAAGCTGAACCTTTTTGTGTGTGAGTTAAATGAGCATGTCTGCACGTATCGCTGCACGTATCGAGGTGCTGAGAGACAGGAAATTTGAAGTTGGGTTTTTGCTGAGTCAGCACAGTGATAAATTCGATTTTTATCCTCTTTCACAATGCCCCCCTATGATTTTGTCCTTATCTCAACATGACATCTTCAGTCTATGAGATGAAGCTCACCAACCAATCATCTGCAACATGTTTGATCTAATGCACCGGTGAGGTGAACAATGCTGTACACTCAACCCAGTGGAACGAAACATTGCATTTCCACCGCCAAGCTGCAAATCTCACCCAACAGATTTATATGGTTCTGATTTCTGAGGCTGCCGCTGCAGTCAGATGCTCTGATCAAATGTCCTTTCCGCACTGGCTTGGGAGAGGGTTAATGTAGTATTTGAATTGGTTCTTAAAAATGTCATGTTCAGCATACGGCCATAGATATGTCCACTACTGAGCCATTGATTGGCCTGTATATCACAGACCTACTAATCAATATCCTTCCTAAAAATGCTTTAGTCTGCAAGCAAGGTGTAAATTCAGTGGGTGGTCACATGATGTTTGCATCCACTCTAAATAGATGTTTCATAAATAGCAAGTGGATAGGTTTCTTATGATGCGAAAGCTTTAGTGTGTGATAATAATGTGGGACTAATGTTAAAGTGGGAATCGGGGTGTTTGGGGTGCCAAAGGTAAGGAGCAAGGCATTTGAGGGAATTAATATTAATGTTTGAGAAAGATGAACTTTCCCTGGGCTTTCTCTTTTGCATATTATTAATATTGATGAGACCGCCCTTTATAATCATCTTAGTTTATTTGCATTAATAAATGTTGCTTAGTCACGTGTGTGCATTAATTATACTTTTACTTCATGGATGCATGCAACACTTGTTGCTTTTGTTAATTTTAACTTAATGTAATTTAGTTGAATGCTCATTTATTTGTTTACGAAAGTTAGATTGAATTTGAAGAATCATTGGCACCCCCTGCAGTACCACTGCAGACCCCCTAGGGCTCAAATATGTACTGGAAATGACACCTCATAAACAAACATACTGATGCTTAGCAATTGGATTGGAGACAGTTTATTTTCCATTATGTTTCAGGTAATTTTTACTGCAAATGGAAAATTGTTGTTTTTTTTTTTAGTGAAGGGAGACAAAATGGCCCTTTTGTTTATAAATGAGAGCATTTGCTTCTGTATTTATCTCTGTCTTCCTTCATATCTCTCTTTGTACGCAGTCACAGCACTCAGTCCGCAGAGGAAGCTGGATTTAATGACCCCAGCTTACTGGAAAACCTCCAAAGTAATCATGTAAGTACTGTAATGGCATCACAGCTGCTCAGTCATGCCCAGCCAGCCAGAAATTTACACACAGGCTCTGATATCCACACGCTCCCCACTCCCACCTTCACAGCTCTTCATGCTCATATCAGCTCTGTTCTGCCAACCTTGGGGGGTTTAGTAGTGTACAATCACAAAACTAGGCCTTTTGTCAATGATAAGGCTAGTTCACACCAAGGATGATTACTGTGATAAAGAGTTTTAGAAATCGTTCGATATATAGAATAATAGCAGAGTTCACACCACAACTATAACGGTATAGAATCACTTTCAGAAAGATTTTTTTTTTCCAGCTGATGAATGATAAAAAACAACCATTGACATTGACAACCATTCAGAAACTGTCCTAATTTATAGAGCTTGAGCATTTAAAGCAGTAGATGACATAAGTTCAGAGCACGCTTAGAATAAATAGAATGATATTTTGCGTTGGTGTGGACACAAATATAGTTATCGTTATTGTTATCTTTAAAGCCTTTTATTTCCTACTGACATGAGACTTTTTCCTTGGTTTCACAGATCAGGCTTAAAGGGATAGTTCACTTTTGAAATACATTTTTGGTATGTTTTAGCTTACCTCAAAGGCATCCAATATGTAGGTGTCTTTTTTTTTTCTGCAGTAGTTTCAATTTTGATATTTTTAGGTCAAACCGTTCTTGTCTGTCAGTCCTATAATGCAGGTCTATGGTCACCACCTCAAAGAGCATGCACAGAGAAGTCCAAATTAAACATGATTTAATTACTTGTAAATGTAAGTACACATTGATGGCCCAAGACACGAAACAAGCAGTTTGTGTGAGAAAACAAACAGTATTTATATCGTTTTTAACTCTTGTAACCACAGCCACAATGCACCCGCGCCCTCACATCACTTGGACGTGGCTGTGGTTACAAGAGGTGAAAACGATATAAATACTGTTTGTTTTCTCACACAAACCGCTCGTTTCGTGTCTTAGGCCATCAATGTGTACAGTACTTACATTTACGAATCTGACTTTCATTAGAGTCCTGACCGATTATCACAACTTAAGAAAATTACAAGCTGTTCAATTTTGCTTTTCAACTTTTGCTTTCAGTCTGCTAAGCATGCTTGGAGAAGTGAGATCGTAGTGAGGAGTATAACTGTAAATCATCTGCATAGCTGTTAAATAAATGATACTGTATGTTGTTGCAGATTCAAGAGGTAACACATAAGTTGTAACCAATTCATGTCTGTTCAACAAACCATCAAGGATGAGTTTTATTTTAAAGATGAATATGTGTGGTCTTTTTCTTAGTTTCTTATGCTTTCGTTCTTCCTACACAGCCCACTGCTCCAGTCATTAAAGATTTCATGACCATGATGGCTATCTGTCACACGGCTGTCCCTGAACGCACCGACAACACGATCACCTACCAGGCTGCTTCCCCAGGTAAGTCAAAACCATTGGAGCTTTCAGTTGTTCTAATAAAATGAATTATGTGACATGCAGATTAATTACAAATATAACTGTTGAAAAAAAAACCCACCGAGGAAGATTTGCCTAATGTATACACTACCGTTTGATATTTCAATACTGATTTTTTTTTCAGTAAAAATTGATTAAATGATCAGAAATGACAGTAAATACATTTATAATCTTATAATTTAATGAAGCTTCTATTAATTGGAAGAGTCCTGAAAAGGTTTTTAACATTGATAATGAAGCAGATTTGTTCTGTTTTTATTATTATCATACATAGCATTCATCATGGGTAAATATGTTATATATTTGAAATATATTACAATATAAAACAGTTTATTTATTTATTGTGTGTGCATAAGAGACATATTAAAAAAAAAAAAAAAATCTTAACCTTAAAACCTTATAACCTTAAAAAAATCTTACTAACCCCAAACATTTGAGTGGTAGTGTATATATTCAAAAGATACTTCTTTATATATAGCAAATACATCTATAGATGTAGTTTTACTAATGTGGAAACTGATCCACAAATGGATCATTGAACTAATTTCAGGCTCTCAAACAACAGACAGCTGGTTGCTGTTGATGGAGTACAGGAAGTGAAGAGGGCAGCCACAGCATGATCTTAATTTCCTGTTCCTCTTTCAAATGATTCTGGTTTGGTTTTCCAATCTCTAGCAGACATCAGTGTTGAGCTGAGAGACAGTGTTCAGATGAGACAGATCAGTGTTGTGAATCTGTTAAGTTGCCTGATAACAGATATAATTTGTTCGTAAGACATTCATGAATGTGAAATAATGCAGGCAAGGAAACAGATGAGTTAATTAATGCAGGTTCACTCTCTCCCGTGCTTGCGTTTGACACCTTCATGGTTATGCATAATTTATCTTTTTAGCATTTGTCAGAATTTATCCCTAGCTTTGAGGCTTAGCGAGACTGGTGACCCATTTTAATTTCACGTCTGTGCAGCGGTGCGTTGAATATTAGCCAGACCACGTTTGAGATAAATGGAAAGCATGGCCGGATGATTTTTGTAGAGACAGCTCGCAGGACAAAAGTTAACAGCAGGTTTTAGTAGTGCCACCTCATCGCCAACAGTTCGTCTGCTTAGTGTGTGAACAAGAAGTCAAATACCAGACGCTTTTATCCAATGTGCCTTAACCGCCACCTGCCTTCACCAAATGCTGTCTTGTTCCACAGATGAAGGTGCATTGGTTCGGGCAGCAGAAAACCTGGGTTTCGTGTTCACTGGGAGAACTCCAGACTGTGTTATTGTGGAGTCGGTAAGAAAAGACGTTGTGGGAATTGATGATGAGTTGCAGTGGGAACGTGACTCGCCCTCTGTCATGCTGCATAGCTCACTCACACTTTGCACTCTGGAGAACTATTAAAGGCAATTTGTTCGCTGGGGTCCCTCTTCAACAGATCCATTATATCCTTATTATAATGTACGATAGAGAGGAAGCCATCGCAGACCTGTGGCAACTTCATTTTTATATACTAATAAATAACAAACATTCTTTCTGTCTGAAACAAATAACCCTTTTACGATCTTTTCTGCACTGCTGATCGGCAAGGATGCTACTGAATCTGCACTACTGTGCAAAGATTTTTTTTATTGAGCAACCGCAGATTTTTACATTGTTACAAAAAATTCTGTTTCAAATAAATTGTTCTTTTGACGTTTCTAATCATCAAAGAATCCTAAACAAAATGTATCACGATTTTTCACTGACAAATACTAAGCAGATCAACATTCAATATTTATAATATGTTGAAAGTTGACATTTATAATCATTATTTATATCATCATAATCATTATTTTAAAATAGAAAACAGTTAAATTTGAATAATATTGTGTTTTTTCCTTTCATCAATGCAGCCTTGGTGAGCATAAGACAAAAACTATTTTGAATAATAATAACTTTGGAATAATAGTGTATTAGTAACTGTAGAAATTAAATGTTTTTTTTTTTATTATTATTGTAAATTGTTACCATGATATTTTACCCAAGTTGTTAGATTGAAGACTGAATTAAATATTAATTGAATCTAAATTTATGAACAAATAAGTTACATGAGTTGGTTCTTTTACTGAATTGCCCAAAGGGATATTAATATAAAAACTTGCTGATTGCATCTCAGCAGTTGCTGAATTAACATCTGACCTACTTTACTGGATACAAAGAGTTTTATTGTAGTAAATGGTAACACTTTATTTCGATAGTCCACTTTAGACATTCTACTAACTATAAGTAACTTTTCAACTACATGTCAACTAACTGTCATTAGAGTATTAGTAGACTGTCAGCTTAATAACTGATAACAATTTATTTTGTTGGTCCCCCAACAGACATAACCAAACAGTCTACTGTCAGCCTACTATAATATACTAATACTCTAATGAGAGTTAGTTGACTTGACATGTACAGTAGTTGAAAAGTTTCTTATAATTAGTAGAACGTCTAAAGTGACTATTGAAATATAGTGTAACCCAAAAATATGTAGGAAACACTTCTGTACATCATTAAAGGTTGGTGTGTCTTTAAAACCTTTTTTTAGTTAAAAACAAGTACTTCTGTTGATTTCAAATGAAGGAAGAGCTGAATTAAAGATACATGGTCTTTAGGTTTTATATGCCCCCCCCCCCCCCCCCCTTTTTTCTCACTCTTTCTTTAGTTGTAAAGAAAAAAAGTGAGAAATTTTACAGCACTGGAGGCGGATAGTGAGAGTGACGGCCGACGTGCTTAAGATATCTGCGCAGAGCTCTTAATAGAAACTTGCTGAGTGAAGATTAGAGAGAATTTAATTAGCGAGACAGAAAGCACTGCTGTTTTCTTAGACCTGGGAGCGAGGAGTCACACTTTGCAACTGTAATTGGTTAATCTGATGCCAGCGCCAGGGGAAGAGTGCAAGACTTGTGCTCCCTGGTCTGTTACACTCTCTAATTTTGGCCCTTTAGTGCAAGACAACTCCCATCATCATACTTGCTTACCTCCATAAGTCACAGAGGCCAAAAAAAAGCAATTAAAAGTTTTAATTTCTTGCTCCCTGCTGTCAAGATGAAGTTCAGTCTTTCAAAATTAGTTAAGAGAACGGTAGAGATCTCAAACTGCTAACCATGCATGACACAACAAGATTTCAATGACAACTGACTTTATTGTAATAGTGTGTGATGCAACAAAATCACAGCCTAGCTATATATAGACCATTTTGCAAGATGTAAACAACACTGGTCCAGAAGCACTTCCTATTTCAGTTTTTTAACACTACATAAAAGCTGGGAGAAAATATAACCAACAGAACATATAAATATGAATCAAAAAGTTAAACAAACATCTTTAAGATGTTTTCTTTACATGTGAAATAAAGAAAACAGTTACAAACTGAAACAGGAAGTGTTTCTAGACTAGTGTTGTTTACATCTTGCAAGTTAAAAGTTCATATATAACTTGTATTCATGTAACGAAAGTAAAATGGTAAAATATCCATTATGTGATTTATACAGTGTGTTGCTTGAAAAAAAAAAAAGCTTATTGTCCAGTAATGGAGAAAGATGCTGTAAAACAACATCTGCCAGCAAAGGCTAACGGTACAGGGCTAAACAGTTAAACCTTGACCTCTTGAGACATAATGTTGATGCTTTTCTGTCTTACAGCTTGGAGGGGAGGAGAAATATGAATTGTTGCACGTTTTGGAGTTCACAAGGTAAATTATTGCAGCTCAAGTAGGCTTTTCTGATGTTTTCATTTTCATTGTCAAGTGTTCAGCTCTGCCCATTCATTCTGCTTGATAGAAAATAAAACACCATGATGGTTTTGCTGTATTTCGGCACCATGTTTACTCATAGTGGGGATGATTACGATAGTGTCAGTGGTGATGGATGATGATGGTGTTTTGTTTTCCTTCCCAACAGTACCAGGAAGAGGATGTCAGTCATTATGCGGATTCCATCAGGAAAGATCCGCCTTTATTGCAAAGGGGCTGTGAGTATCTCATAGTCTGTTGCTATGGAAACAAAGAGCCGCCAGACGCTTGCAACTAAACCCTACTGTAGAGTGCTTTTCTCTTGTGAAGAAGTGAAGAGCCAGACAGATACACAAAGCACACTGCCTTTGCAGACTATTATTTTGGTATTCAAGTAATCCATGTTATACATGTTCTGTTAAAACATGCTATTGTATTATACATCTTGCTCTATTTCCTTTGAAAATAATTTGTGCAAAAATCGACACACAATTGCACAAAGTTCACAGTAATTGTTAATTAAAAGCTACAAGGCAGTTTAAATCAACATCATAGATTTTAGGTTCAAATTAGGGTTAAAACTAAATGTGTGAACAACAACAACAAATATTTTATATTACAGACAAAGTCTTGAATAATCTAACCAATTTTTTATTCATTTTATCAATCAGTAATTTTATTCCTAAAATAATCTTGATCTGTGTATGTGCATGTTGGAAATGTAAAGAGTATGTAATAAAATCTGGCGGATCTCAAATAGAGAATGATGGGAAGATATGTTTTTCCTCCCACATCACATCCCAGCTGTTATGCGATGCATTAAAACCGGATCAAATAATAAAGTGTTATTATAAATGTGTTCATAAAGCATGTAGAATTAGTCGGACATATGTTATCACTCTCTTTTCCTCTGCGTTTTAGGCAGCACAGAGTTATGAATTATGCCATGTTTTTGTCTCCCAGGACACTGTGATCTATGAGCGATTAGCAGACAGCTCCAGATACAAGGACATCACCTTGAAACACCTGGAACAGTTTGCCACAGAGGGTGAGAGACAAGCACACCTGTCTAGTAGCTGCTTTCTCTCTTCGGTTCATCTGTAATCAAATGTTAGTCTGTTCTGCTCCCACAATCCAGTCAAATCACTGTAGGTGTTGATGATGGTTGCCAGATCCTCTCATAGTGAGAGTGATGTGAAATGTGTGTGCTTGCCTTCAAAGCACTGGCGTACTGCAGTACTTCTCTCTCATGAAGACGCCGCCCCCTGGTGGAACTACTGAGATGTGTCAGCCTCATAGGAACCTCAAGCAATCAGTAGCTTTGTCTACCATGATACCCTGCATGAATAATTTATGTTGCGCGGAGATCATCCACTCAGCTGTATTAGCATCAGTCTAAAAAACAGACGATGGCTTTCTTCTTCAGAAAGATTAGAAGAAAGGGATTTTTTGAGGGCAGGAAGATGTTGAGAATTAGCATATCTAAGAGAAGCTCATGTATTCATCTTTGTGCGTTTTTGCAGGTCTGCGCACACTGTGTTTCGCTGTGGCCGACATCTCAGAGTCGTCCTACCAACAGTGGCTCGAGGTTTATCATCGCGCCTCAACGTCTCTCCAAAACAGGGCACTCAAGATGGAGGAAAGCTATGAACTGATTGAAAAGGTGAGGCCGCATACAAATAGCTATTCTAGTGGGAACAGATAAAGTGGTCGCCATACAAAGGTCACAGAACCTTCCAGAACTTTGTGTTCTGCAATACTAAGCCAGAAACTGCAGGGGAAGGGAATGTAGTATCATTTCTTATTTCTTAATTTTTTGTACACAGATGGTTCGGCACAAACAAGTACCAAAATGTTTCATGGTTTACCTTTCACATAGTATCAAACCATAACTTTTTGGATGTGTTGTGGATGTTACCATGTCACCATAGTTTTTTTAGAAGTTTGGGGTCAGTAATAATATTAATAAAAATATTATTATTATTATTATTGTGTTTTTGGTTTTGAAGAAATTAATACTTTTATTCAGCAAGGGCAATCAAATTGATCAAAAGTGACAGTAAAGATATTTATAATGTTACAAAAGATTAAGTCAATTAAATGCTTTTCTTTTTAACTTTCTATTTATCAAAACAAAACTACAAAAATGCATTACAGTTTCAATAAAAAAAGCAGCACAACTGACATATTGAAACGTTACATAAGTAATGTAACCGCAGTAATGACTGCTAAAAAAAATCAATTTATATTACAATAGAATGGTTATTTCGCATTATAAGTGTTATAATTTATATATTTCACAAATGGCATGTACTTCTGAGAGGTTATTCTGAAGTTCAGTCTTCTCCTGTGGGGGGGTTAGTTTGGCAGGTCCCAGAACAGTTTCTTAGTTTCAGTTTGATCAACGAAGGCTGGGTTGTCTCTGCTCGCATGGCATCTGAAGAAGTATACGATTAGGCTCAACCCATGAGGAAAGCACAGTAGTGGACCTGTGGAAAGTTAGGCTCTGGAAGTGATCGTCAAACATGGCCGACCACCATCATTAATCACTGGCTGTAGCAGCGCTGCCAACTTTTCGGAGATAATGATTCTAATCAATCATTTTACATAAAAGCGTCTCGTTTGACAGCTGTAACTACATCTTTCTATCAGCAGGTGGCAGCGGTGGCACCTTATGTTCCTGTTGGAAAATAAACCCCTGAAACATCCGATTTTCTGTCTTGAGAATGAAATAATTTATGCACAATTTAAATAATCATTTTAAATTAAATTTACATAAAATGATTCTTGACATTCCCTTTGAGGGCCTCAAAATATTAGTTTTTAATACACTGCCATTTAAAAGATTCTTACAAAAATAAACTCACCATGCTCACCAAGGCTATGTTTATTTAATCAGTAAAACAGCAATATTGTGAAATATTACAATAGATATATTAATATAACAATAACATGTAAAATAATTGTTTTCAATTGTAATACAGTATATGAATTTGAAAATGTAGTTTAATCTTGTTAGAGCAAACCTGAATTTTCATCATCATTACTCCACTCTTTAATGTCACGTGATCCTTCGGAAATCATTCTGATGCTGATTTGCTGTTCAAGAAACGTTTTTTTTCTTCTTATAAATGTTGAAAACAGTTGTCCTGCATAATATTTTGTAAAAACCGTTATTTAGTTTTGCACTTGCCTTAAACATTTTATTAAATATTTTTGAGTTTATCTTCCAAAATTAGTGTCTCTGCCAAATCTTACAGATTCTCTGAAAAAGAGTATGATATAAAGTTAGGGTGACCATATTTTGATGACCAAAAACCAGGACACTCGGCCCAGCAAACACATGGGCCAACTCAAATGATACTCGAAGTTTACTCAAAGATACCTTATTAATTTCAATACATTTAAAGTAGGTTATGCCTCCTCTGTATGGATAGAAAATTGTTATATTGTTATATGAAAACAGGACATGTCCTGGGAAAACAGGACAGTTGGTCACCCCAATAAAGTATCATATCAGAGCCCCTGCTCACCACATTACGGATCAGGTTTACAGGAGGCCGTTTGCTCTCGCTTTCTTTTTTCCTCCTTTGGTGCAGCTGACTTTCCTCTTCGGGGTCCTGTCAAAATCCTGTCCACTCCAAATAGGATCATGGCTGGTCAAAGGGCTGGGGGCTTCCTGAGAAAAACACATTAACAGTCCACAGTCTCTCTCTCTCTCTCTCTCTCTCTCTCATATACACATAACTGAGTCTTTGTGATCCGAGCATGAGATACATTTCTCGAATGTCCCTCTGGTCCTACATTTGCATCTAACTGTAAGGATCATCATCTGACTGTACTGTAGGAACATAAGGGATTTCCAACAGTGGTTCAACGTACTGTAGTCTTTCACTTCACAGTCTCTCTACTCATTGTTTGAAATATAAATGATCAATATGTCATGCTCATTTATTTATTTATTTGGTAAGTAGCTGTGTAATGAGCGAGTTAATGTAAAATCAGCTGGTTGTTATCACAAAATAAACCCCAACAGGGGGATACAAGATCCTGTTCACCGGGATTGTTTTCTAATTATGACTGACTGAAATAGGTACATTATCCCTATTTTTAATCTGCTTAAAAGGCTTTATCAGTTCTTTGAATCTGAGTGAAATGAATGTGTCAAGTCACCTTTATTTAGAAATGGCTTTACAATACATATTTCAAACCAGCCTCAAAACAACAAACAGGAAAATGACATAATGCAAACTTCTTCATAAATTAGACTATCAAATTCTGCTGTAAAGCAGCTCTACAAAGACAGTATTTCATAATTTATTAACTGTACACACACAGTAATTGAACTGAACTGAATCAGCAATGAACTGACTTGAGTTGCTCTACAAAGACTATAGTGTCAGCTTGAGTCAGTTCAATGTTGTCAAATCAGTTCAGTAACAGTGATTTGATAAAATTGATAATGCCTTATTACTGAATATTCAATGTATTTTATACTAAGCAAACTATAGGTGACAGTGGTAAAGAGCACAAACTTCATCTGATGACAGAAATGGAGAATAAAAATAGCAGACTCAATCAGTGGGCCAGTGCTCCTCTGGTCAATTGAATGCAAATTGTGTGATAATGATTCCAGGCTGTCATATTTGTGGATTATATTTTCATCTAGCATGCATCACGGCAGTATTTGATGTTTATTTATATTATTAATAATCTTTTTTTTTTTTTTGTCTTTTTCTCGGCAGAACCTGCAGTTGTTGGGGGCCACAGCCATTGAAGACAAACTTCAAGACAAAGTACCAGAGACCATCGAGACCCTCATGAAAGCCGACATTAAGATCTGGATCCTGACTGGAGACAAACAGGAGACCGCCATCAACATAGGTGAGTAAAACATATAACGGAGTGTTTGTATGATATACACAGACTGTAGCTTCAAGCATCGTAGCGACCTATACGAGCACTTTCGCAACCTGTGGGCTTCATTTTTCTTATTTTAGTTCTCCTTAGTTCTTACAGACATAGTGCATCAGGTTTTTCTCTTATATTTTGACATTAACCAGTGAGTATTTCTCTCCCTAATTTAAATGATCAAAAATATACACAATCCTTCCCCAGACCTCTCTCGCTCTTACACTCAAACAAACATAGTCCTCCCTGACCGGCTGTCGCACAGGTACAAGGTGTTTAGTTTCTTTCCTCATCCGAAAGCTGACGCAACGCATGTGTCCTCGACCCGTCTGGCACTAGTCTGTCCCTACAACCACCACCAGCTTTCAAAACAGACTACGGTCCCCCCTCCTATTTTCCTGTGATGTGGCATCTCATATTAGCCCGACAGCTGTGCGAGTCGTGCGACTACCAATGTGGCTTTTGAACGGGCCTCAGGTTAAACGCTACAGTCAGAAAAACAGATCTTGACAGAGCGCAGTCTGTGGCCACCTACCAACACTGATCCTGAATCAGCCCATTGTGCCCACCGGCCAGCTGTGGCGCGGCTTGAAAACGTACATGCTCGGAGAGGAAGGGATTTTTACTGTACTTCTGCTTGGCCCGGAATGCTCTGTAAATTAGAGACGCCCATGTCTGTGTTTACTTTGTATTTTTTGCATTTTTGTAATTTATCATTTGGAGAAATTGGAGGATGACAAGAGTCTTCCAGGTAGTATAGGTTTCCAGAATCCGTTGCCAGTGTCATTAAAATGTGTCTGAGGTGATGTGGACAAATGGACTACGCTAGCAGTTTTTTTTTAAACTTAGTATTTTTTTAGCATTTCTTATATAATGATCTATATACTGTTGCGAGGAAATATTAAGCATGAGAAAAAATATTTATTATTTTTTTATATTTAAAAATTAAAAATATAATAACAATATAATGCTAAAAATATAATACTAACTGTATCATTGTACTAAAGGAAATTGTTAAAATATCAGAAAAATAGATGCGCTTTACAATGCCATCTTGCACTCTTTAAAAAAAGTTACATTTAAGTAAATTTAAATTGTTGAATGTGAATATAAACAAAAAAATATATTAACATTTAATATATCTAAACATTAATTGTAATAATGATTTACAATTTGTCTTTTTCTCAATTTTCGTATTCTCGCCTTTGTTTTTTATATCGCCTGTGCATAAACTCGCTAGCTTCGGTGGCAGATCAAACTATAACGGTGCTGTGCCGTCTACATTGGACCCACAGACTCTGGGTCGAACATGTATGGGCGAATCATTCCGGTTGCCATTTTACAACATTGGACGTTTTCAAAACAATTTGCCCCAAGTGCATCGACGAGTGAGTTGAAACTCATTATAATATGCAAAACTGTTATCAACTCACACCCATAAAAACGCTTGGTTTTTCAGCTAGGCTCAAAACTAGTGTACAAAATAGTCTATTACTTATTACATAGACTATGTTAAATACTTATTAAATACTTTTTGAATGCAAAAACCAAGCGAACGTCATAAGTTGACATCAGACAACAATATAATAAAATTTAAAAAGCCAGTTCATGACCCCTTTAATGTCCTCTGTGTTTGCTTCCGTATAACAACGTGCTCGAATCGGAGCAATAAATCGGAATTGAGCTCTAAAGCTCGCAGTGTGAACATAGCCTAACCTCTTTTGTGACTTTCAAAACATGAATCCATATGTTAACACCACAGCGTGTTTAAAAATATAAGGTTTCTCCATTTCCCACACGTGCGCTCTTCAGAAACATATGAAAACCTATCAGAAGTGAAGTGAACCCCACCACTGTGAAGTCAAGCGCAGTTTAATCTTGGGTTAGCGGGTACTTAGAGCTGTTTGGCCGCCTCTCGCGCAGAGTACATGAAACCGCTCCAGTTCTTCTCTCCGCACTAGCCCTCTGACGGCCTTATTAATGTATCAGGCCATTTAGCAGAGAGTTGGAGCGAGGACATGCGAGCTATCCACACTGCTGCTACCACTGGGCTGTTGCTCCTGGCCACTGGGTGCCACTGTGAAGCCTCAGAGATTAAAGCCCAAACAAACAGCATGCGGCCAACGCAAACAACTCAACATGCCCTCTTCTAACCCACAGCCACTGCCAACAGACAGAATGAAAACCCACCCTGCAGCAGCACGGAGCCAATGCAACCGCTGAGTGTAACCTCAATGCCTCCTTTCCAGATTCATACAGAACTATGCTGCATCATGCAGGTGTCACAATGTAAAATCTATGCTTTCTACCAAGGGTGTTTTAGTTTAACTGGGTTGGACATTCGACCACCAGGAGTTAGAATGAAGCTGAGGAAATATTGCAAGGTTTGGGTCACTGTCAGGAAACCAAATCTGTTTTCCACACAGACAGGAAATTTTGGTGAATATGCAAGTTTGAAATCAACAGGAATGACATGGCAGGACAACGGGCACACAAATACATACTCATTCAAACTCTTGTTGAATTTGGTCCATTTTAATGGCGCAGTCACATTTCCTTAAGGGTGAAGTGTGTCATCTTTTTTTTTCTTTTGAAATGTGCAAAGTCACATACAAGGCAACCATTCACCAACTTGGGGCCTTGTTTGGGAAACCTGTTTTGCTACGGTGTCATTAAATTACATGCCTTGCATTTAATGGTGTAAATTATTATCTCTTATACTACTAACTAACATTATTATTGGATTTAATGAGTGAAGTTGACATGCACAGGTTTTATAGACCATTTGGGAGCAGACCTCACAGTTACATCACTTGTAGGGATGTCAGAGTCATGACAGAGTCATATTTGTCTAAAATAATTCTGGATTTTAAGCTTCAGGGTCATGAATACTTTTATTCTGGTGTCACCATTGTCCTATGCATTGGGTTATGCATGTCTTGGAGTATCACAATAATATTGTATTGTGAGTTCAGTATCGTGATATGTATTTTATCGTGACATGAGGGTATAGTTACACCCCTAATAACTTGTTGCTGTGTGTGCATTTGTGGTGGCAGAAAAACAGTGGTAACAAGTGGAGGAAATAAGAAAAAAAATCGGAATGAAAAAAAGATTGTCTTCATTTTTATAGAATATGAATAATACTTTTTTTTTAATCTCCAGGTGTCTTTTTAAGTTATGATTTTGACAATTTATTTAGAAAACACTTAGATAAAATAGAAAATTAAGACATTTTACTTGTATAATGTATAATGGTATAAAGTTCATGACGGCAGCAACATTTATGAATTTATTTATAATCTCCAATCCAGTCTTCTTGATGCTTCCAAGATCAAGTCATTATTGCTGCATGTCAGTGAGTAGCCTTGGTAGGCAGAAGACATTAGGTCAATCCGACACGTGATGCAATTTACTTTAACTACTGCTTTTAGACTAGTCTTTTACACTTATTTAACACTAATGTTCCAGTGATTCTTGCCATCTAAAAGCACACACACACAAACTCTTCCCCATGGACATCACTCCCCAAATACTGAGGTGTCGGTAACCTATTAAAACGCAAGACAACGTGTTCCACCCCTTATGTTGTTTAGACAAATCCTGATGGATGATGGGATGCCGTGCTTTTTTTATCGGCCCACTGTCAGCTCTCCAGTTGTGATCTCATACGAACTGCGAACAGGCATGTTAAAAACCAATGCAATTTAGGAGTCTCAAACTCAGGTCTGCTGTAAACTTTAATCACAATATGTGCTTTTCACTCATCAATTAGTCATTTCTTTTATCTGTTGCTATGGTTATACATCGCATATCTTTGGAATGTTGATGTATTGCTAACATACTACGTTGCGGCAAACCATTCGTCATTTGTTCGAATGCCAAGCGAGTTGTTTTTTTTCCCCACAAACATACCATATGTTTTCAAGCTTAGTGAGAGGTTTAAGTAATGAGTTTTCTAACTTTCTTTTCTTTTTTTGTCTTGTAGGACACTCCTGCAAACTGCTCACGAAGAACATGGGCATGCTGGTGATAAACGAGGACACCCTGGATGTGAGTACTGAATCAGAGGTGTATGTTTATTTGAAAAACCAGTTACATGTCACCATTTATAACGCAAGCTCTGAGAAGAGATGAAAAAACACGGCAGCTGACGGATCGCTTCAGGGCCCCCCGCACATCAAAGCATGTGACATAATTCCCAGTCCGACTCTCTTCCAGAACAGTTATAGATTTTGTTTTGAGTTTTCATCCAAAGCTTTCCCCTCCGGTTTCGGGTCTTTTGCTCTCTCTCGCTTGTTCTCTGAAAGAAAGGAGTAAAGAGATACAATGGGGCCAAAAAGTCTGGAGCACTTTTTTGGCATTTGCATAATTTTGATTGAAAAGTGATACTTATTTTGTTTTATATTAGACTAGTGTTCTAAAGTTGGGTCAGTAATGTTCTTTTAAGAAACTGATACTTTTGATCATCAAGGATGGATTCAATTTATCAAAAGTGACAGTAAAGAATCCTGGAAATAGTATCAGTTTCCATAAAAATATTAAACAGCTCAACTCGCAAAAAAAAGCACAAATCACCAAATCAGCACATTAGAATGATTTCTGAAGAATTATGTGACATTGAACTCATTGAATTTTTTTGTTGTTGTTTCCTATACATTATTCCAGAGAACTTTATACTAAATAGCTTTATACTAAATCTCGTAACGCCAGTGGATCCTCGAACTGTCAGCAAAACTAGCTGTAGATCCACCCACCTCAATAGTGAATGAAGTGCTACAAATTTTGGAGAACGTCTCTGCTCGTTTCCATTATTTCATTATTACTTTGGGACCCTGCTCTATGTGTTGTTCATATGGCGCTTATAGGAAAGAGAGGGATGTGGTCGCACCGCATGGAGCCGTTTAAAAGACAGGAAGGGGCCGTGTACTTAGAACAGAGGTTTGGGACCCTCTTTTATATATACACACACATGCACGCGGTACAGGCCAATAACTCCCTGATTGGAGAATCTATTCTGTTTGCCGCAAAACCGAAAAGCTTTAAAAGAATGAACCCGTTTGAAATGTGCACACCTTCACTCTACAGGTCAGCTGGCCCCTGCAGGGAGGGTCTTGTCTGTTGTGTGTGGAAGTTAAGGGCTCTAGAAAGCATTTCACGCAGCTTGCACACATGCAACGTAACCCCTGATCGGGTGTGGCCGGTCCCGCTGTGGGGTGGGGGTGGGGTTTAGGCGATGACGGACGCCTCTCAGTCTGTCAAACAGCCGTTTATCGTGATCGATGGAGCGAAAGAAAAAGGGGAGAGAAATAAGAGGCGTTCTCCATAAAGCAGACAGCCGCCATTTGAAATGTCAGCGCCCGGTCTCCCATGCATATGCAAACGCTTATACAACACACGAAAAGAAAACAAGGAGGAATTCTCTGAGCGCTCAGAGGTCCGGCAGTGGTGGGGATTCGCTGTGCTCTCCGATTGCAGGAGAAAACAGTCCACCTCCCTTCCCCTCGGTCCTTCTCTTGTTTTTTTTGCGTTTAACAGATTCAACATATTAAGGAAAACAAGATGGATGAAGGAACTCACTCATCCGGCCCGGAGAGAGGGGTTGAGTTCTTCTCCGGACGTCTGAGTGGGGTTCATTATCTCAGTGGAGGAAAATGCAAGGCACTTTGGGATAGGTCAAAGAACAGTAACTCAATAATCACATTAAATATGCGGCAGACCGCAGTTCTTTCTGCTGCTCACAGATGAAAGAGAGCTCGTGTTTGCAGATGAGTTGAGAGAATGGAGAGATTGTGGAAGAGCACAAAGGAGGAAAGAAATGGGGGTAAAAATAAAGACATGCACTGAGCATGTATTTTAATTTAATTTAAAATAACCATTTTCTTACCTTTGTAGCTTTCGATTTGTCCTCTTTTGTGGTCCATTAGTGAGTTTCATGAACGAATACAGTCATGATTTAATTTCAGCCGCTTTATAGGTCGCTGAAGGCGATAACTGTTGGTTGCTAGTTGATGGACACAAACTGAATTTGTGCTTGCAAAATTGTTTTTGTCATTATCATCACTATTTGATTTTCATTCATTCTTAACAATAGAAGTTGTATTCTCAAGATCTCAATTTAATTTTCTTATGATCTCATAAAAAAGTTAAAGTTAAAAAAGTTTAATTTTTGCTGATAATTTACTCACCCGCATGTCATCCAAGATGTCCATGTCACTCTTTCTTCAGTCGAAAAGAAATTAAGGTTTTTGATGAAAACATTCCAGGATTTTTCTCTTTATAATGGATTTAATGGGAACCAAACGGTCCAAATGAGAGTTTCACTGCAAACTGCAAACTGTTCAAAGGGCTTTAAACGATTCCAGACGATGAATAAGGGTCTTATCAAGCGAAACGATCACTTATTTAATAAATAAATAACAAAGTTTAAGTTTTATATGCTCAAATGATCGCCTTGCTCTGTTCTGTGATGCACGTTCGTGACTCTCTCTTTCTTCAAAATGAACAAATCTTTTTCCGAGTCATTTAGTTCATGAAATGACTTCATCAACAAATGAAACAAACAAATTGATTTGTTAATTTTAATGAACGAGTTCGAAAGTTATTTTGTTGATCAAGCTGAACTTTTATTTATTTATTTTTTTTGTCGTGTCGTGAGAGTACAATACACACACACAAAAAGAAACATGCATGACCTCATGAGGGTTTCTGTAGCAAAGTCATAACCCTGATGAGCTTTTTCTGCCATTTAGATTCCGGTCTTTTTTCAATATATGTTACTTAAAGAATAAAGAATCTGACATTTTTCTTGTTCATCAACCGAAATGAACATAAAATGAACATAAAGTATTACAACCATATTCTATTTTTCTTCCGTAGCTGGAGAGTTGATTTTATCAGGCAGTAGTGCGCAAGTGGGTGTCCATTTAGGCATATTTATATACATATGTGAGTGTATGTATGCACTTGCAGTCTTCAATCTGTCATTACTTCATTGCATGCAATGGCCTATATGCACATCCGCTCCTTGTTTATAATGTCCGAGATCACGTGCTTGAGTTCAGGCATCTCGGTAAAAGGCTTTTCAAAGCGCCTAAATCAGCTGTTATCTGCTGGATTTTGGCAGTGTGTGGAAGCGCTGATGCACTGTATATCCCTTTGATGCCTTCTGCCCGCTTACAAAGCAAACACTCTTGAGTCATCACGATTCGGTATGCTCACACAACCATAACACAGAGGCCTGTTTAAGCCAAGCTTCCTAAGTGGAGACTGGGAAATGGTGACTTGTGAGGAAATGGATGACATTGTCCTCTCATTAGTCTTCATAAGCCAACTTATCATCTGATTTTATACTTTTGCAGACTTACTTATATATATGAGGACACCTACGGAATGGAGGCCACATTTTAGAGAAGCTCTTACAGCTGCACTTCTCTCTCGTTCTCTGAAACCTGAGGCTTCTCTCTCTTTAAACCCTTGGCTTCTCTCTCTAAATATTTCCTTTGAGCTTGGGTTTCAGAGTCTTGTTATGCCAGGGGAATGTTGATTGGTCCCCAAGGTGTAATCTCACTACCCTTAGGCATCTGCCCTCCTCAACACACATGCACACACACATTCAGGTGATCATCAGCATTGAACATAGTACTGTTTAGACAACTATAATGGGATCTCCCTGGACGTGCTAAGAACCCAACCGGACCAAAGGGCAGGACACATTCTCTCACAGTCCTTGTCTTGTTTTGATTCGGGGTTTTTATTTATTTATTTATTTTTTTTAGGGTTGTTTTGTCTTGTTTTGCTTTATTTTGTAATTTATCATGTATCATCCAATAGTGGGTATTTAACTTTGGTATTTAGTTTCTGTCTAATTTAAGGCTTTGTCAAAAACAATTGTTTATTTAGTATTTATTTAAAAGCAGCAGATTATCTCCATATTTCACCATTACAGTTTTTAGTGTTATAATAATAAGAATAAATAACTTCTTAAAATTACACTGCTATCAAAAGTAATTATTTAATCATTATTTAATCATTCATTTCTGCATATATATGAAGAGTTCAGATGCAAAAGCCTCTAAATGCCATTTGAAATTTTCTTCTTTAATGATGATTTTTATCAAACTTGTATATTTAAGTTCAGTAATTTCACTTCAATGGCAATGATAATTACCTATTAATTGTTATTTAAGTGAAATTACTGAACATAAATATACAAGTTTGATAAAAATCATCATTAAAGAAGAAAATTTCAAATGGCATTTAGAGGCTTTTGCATCTGAACTCTTCATATATATATATATATATATATATATATATAAAATGTGTGTGCATGCATGCATATATGAATATATGCTGCATATTCAATTCAATTTCAATTCACATTCTAACCTATTTGTATTGCACTTTTTACAATACATATTTCAAATCAGCTTCATAGAAAATTCATGTCTACATTACATCTTAGATAGATATGTTATCAGATGTGACTGTGTCCAAGTAATGTATTTCAGAAATACATTCAGTACATAATACAAATCACACAGTTAGCTAATAATGTATTAATATAAACAATTTATTAATTTTAAGACGTAAACAATTAGCTCATTGATGTAATGAATTCATGTTTTTAAGAAATGATTAGGGTATATAAAAAATTATATATTTATTGTGTATATACATATATTACACATCTTTCATTATTGCATGTTTATAAAATATTAAATCTGATTTATTATTAATTATATTATATCATGTTACATTACATTAGTATAAATTTATATAATATACTATAACATTTTTCACTTTTCTGTAACATCAGCAGCTTTTTGTTTTTGGTCATATTTTCTGTGGATTTCTTCTGCGTACTTAAATGACGGGAGTTAACTTCAAATGTCTGTGTCATTAAGCCAAATATGGTGTCATTTAGATTTACTTTTAAATTGTTTAGTCTTCGCTCCTGTCTGCTCAGCATAAACCTTTTTTTTTTATTAGTTATTGTTTTATCCCTCGGATACAGAAGAGCTTGTTTGTGTCATGGTCTTCACTTAGTTGGAATTTGAAGCCAGAAAACATGTTAGACAGCTGTTGAACAGGAGCTGACAGACAGAGACATGCACAAGTTTGTTTACCCACAATGCTCAGGGATTTAAAGCTGTGAGGACCAGCCTCCCTGAGCAAAGACTAAATTTCTGTTGAAATGATTCACATTCACTCATACACCGTGTCTACACCAGAAGTGAGTGGCGCAACGCAACAGAAGCAAGTAGAACCCATTATAATAAGTGATTCTGTCTACACTAAATCCCCAACAGTAAATTGAGGCTTTGTTCTATTTTTAATGAACAAATGCATTTGCAAAAGTCGCTTTGTTGCGTCCGGTGTAGACACTGTGTCAGATCTGCTATAGGTAATATAGGGGAAACCAATTTATTTATTTTTTTGGTAGTTGTGTCCAGATACGGTGAGCGGTGTTCCCTCTACTCCCGGAATTCGGGAGTTTTATGAGTGCCCTATCATTCCTACACATGAGAGCCAGCAGATGTGTGATTTTATGGGAAATTTATATAAAGTACAGCAGCATTAATCCAAACAAAGAAGCGTCCTCCCACACGTCCCGAATCCTTAAAATAACAGCTTCTTACTACGAGGTATATTTTCTGCTGAAAGTACAATTTTCGCCATTAAAACTTCATATAAAACAACAGTCAGGTCAAGTCAAAGATCCCAATTTTTCTTTGGCCCAGTCAGTGTTCATTAAGATCTTCCAGGTTTAATCAACACGCAGAAATATTCCTGGCTCCCGCTTTGAGCCCATGCAGCTGGGACAGAACATTCCTTTAAAATAACCCCTAAACCCAGACGTATGCTCTCTTCGATTGCTTTACCAAAACGAGAGTGCGAGAAGAGGGAGGTCTGCAGCTTTGCTAGTGCTCAGGGTACATTCCTATGCTGTTGTGTTTCCTGATCATGGCCATTGAAAGGCCTTGTTCTAACAAACGAACCATCACACCCAGCTTTGGCTTTACTCTCTCCGTAATGAAGCGTGCCGTGTGTGCGTTCTCACTTTGATGCCCTGTGCATTGACAATAAACAGACGTAAACCCCATGTGCAAAAGTGTCTGGTACTCTGCTTGCAAAATCCCATGTTATTATTGGGATTGATGACCTTGGCGTCGAAAAAGAAAAGGGGGAAATTATCCCAGTGTTCTTGTGTGGTTTCTCATCAGACATCTCTGAACAGTTTTATGATTTATTGCATTACAAATCCCTATCATAATGAATTCATTCTTTTGAGTTGCACGGGTTTCAGAGAAATATTTACATTCCGGCTGATTTAGTCAGTTATACAATTGTAGTAATGTCATTTCGCATGAAATGTTTATCAATATTATACGTTATTCTGTTCATGTTTGTGTGCAGGGTACCAGGGAGACCCTTAGCCATCACTGCGGCATTCTGGGAGATGCTCTGCACAAGGAAAACGACTTCGCTCTCATCATAGATGGGAAGACGCTGAAGTACGCCCTCACTTTCGGGGCACGGCAGTATTTCCTGGATTTGGCTCTTTCCTGCAAGGCTGTGATATGCTGCAGGTATGTAACAGTAACAGTTGAAAATCAGAAATAATAACTTACTAACTGTAACAAACGCTTACAGAGTATCAAATATTAAAGATTCGTTGGTTTTCATAATGGGGGCCATATTGGGGTCCATGAAAAGTTCCATATACAAATGATACAACTACATTTGAATTGAGATATTTCTTTTATATTTTAATATTGGGCATAAAAAAACAAAGAACTTAAGTGGGTACTTGAACGGAAATCGTATCCAGATAATATTTCAGTTACTTTTGGCTTAAGTAGTAATTTAATTAGTAATTCATATATAATGCTTAATGTTTTTCTTACACAATCTGAATGGCTCTCGCAGCATGAAAATGTCAAGCTCCCTTTCTATTTTATGAAGGAGGTCCATCACAAGGGTGTTATTTGTATTTGATTGTCCTTGACATCAGAAACTGTTGCTACAAATCCAAGTAGACGAAAAGAAAATGTGGAAATAATGCCTTCGGTTTTCGTACGCATGTATTTTTTTTTAATGAAAGAGTCCAGTTATTACAAATTTTCTCTGTAATCAAATTATTTAAAATGTTTCCATTGTTGAACCAAAATACACAGGAAGTTATACTGTCATGCTCTGCTTAAATTTTTACTATTTCACAGGTGGGTGTAAATATCTTTGTGGGTTAAAGGGATACCCCACTTGTTTTGGAAATAGGCTAATTTTACAACTCCCCCACAGTTAAACTGTTGGGTTTTACCGTTTTCGAATGTATTCAGCCGATTTTCTGATATTTAGAAGAATATCAGCGAACAGACAGAGTATATTTTTTTCCTACTATGGAAGTCAATGAGACCAGAAACTGTCTGGTTACTGATATTCTTCGAAATATCAGAAAATCGACTGAATGGATTCGAAAACGGTAAAACTCAACTGTTTAACTCCGGGGGAGTTGTAAAATGAGCCTATTTCCAAAAAAAGTGGAGTATCCCTTTAATTACCCTTTTTGTCCTCCAGGGAACTGACGGCATCACTGACCATTTTTCTACACTTACAAAAACATCAAGTGACTGGCAGACAATTACAGGGAATTGCCGCTGCACTGTTTAAGGAACAAATTACCTTCCCTTTAGGTCACAACCTTCCCAATAAACATAATTATACTAGCTCTCAAAGCAGCAATTTACTAATGAGTGTTATTTTTTATAATAGTAGATTGTGAATATCTGACAGACATTCTGACTACAAAGTTAAACTGTGTGTTAGCAGACTAGAATGAACCATTCCAAAAAAACGCTGCACAGAGAAACATATGAGGAACCAATTGAGCGTGACAAGGATCTGCCAAAAATCAGTGTCAATTTCCAGAAACAACGCACACCACAGGTGTCACAGCCATTATGCAATGCGTGATGTAATCTATCCGCTCTGCTTTTGCTCACTACACACACACACACACACAAGGACAGCCACACGGTGTCCAGAGGAGACCAGATTTGTGGCTGTAGATGAATGAACGTTAAACTGACTCCAGAGGTCTCCTGCTATATCGGCAGCAATCTCCGGTTCACTGGAGAGTCTTACATCACTCTACGTTCATTGCTTATAGGATGACCTGTGAATGTTAAGCCAGGGTAAAACCCCTGAGGAGCTTTTCTAGCCAAAGGCGAGACCTTAATTTCATTTGCTGACATGAATGATACAGTACTGTAATGTGCTGCTAGTATTTGTATATGTTTTTTAAAGGTCAGGGATTCTGGGCTCATGTCGACCATCTTCTTAATCGCAGATTTGCCAGGTTTGGGCATCTTTAAGGTGTGGATTCATCCGTTCCGAAATATTATAGTCCGTTTTCCTGGAAATATCCAACCGGGCTTGGGAAATGAATAAGTCCTGGAACGTTCTATAGTAAATAGACATTTTTCAAGTTTTCTGGTTTCTCTAAAATATTTAAACAGCTGGAAATATGTGCAGAACTTCTGTCAAACTTGCTTGCAGTCGATGTAAATGTTCAATTTGTGAGTCACTTGTTCCTTTAATTCAGTCCCCCCTAAAAAAATGATCCAATTACTAATTAGTGAGTGTTATTTTAAGAATTAATAGGACACACACTCCAATTATTTTAAAGAAATAAAAACTTTTATTCAGCAAGATTCATTCAATTGATTGAAAGTGTAAGTAAAGACTTGACAAAATGAAAATTTCTATTTCTGATGAATTCTGTTCTTTTGAACTTTCTATTCATCAAATAATCACAAATGTTTTTCACAAAAATATTTTTTTATTTTTAAGAGATGTTTCTTGAGCAGCAAATAAGTATATTAGAATGATTTCTGAATGATCATGTGACACTGACGATTGATGGCTTTGCTATATCACAGGAATACATTTTCAAATATGTATTCAAATAGAAAACAAGTTTCTTTCTGTTTTTTAAAGACTAAAAAAGTGTGACATTTTTCTTTCGAAAGACAACGATGGGAAAGTTTTTAAATGGAAAACCAGAAGCTATCATTTTAGGTGCTAATTTACTACAGTATTTGAGCAGTGAATTTCAGTGATGAGAGTTTGAAGTCCTCTTTTTGAAGACTAAATTCATCCTGAAGTTGAAATGTGACAACATGCTGTTGAGGTCACAACACACGGCTAAGAAATCAAATGGTTGTCAGCACTAATAATTGGCAACAAGAAAAATTGCTTCAGATCCCTCTTTAAAGGGACCGTTGCAAATACACAAATATGCTGTAAATCCCTAATTTATTTCCTTGTGAAAAGATATAAAATGGCAATTTTAGCCATAGAGAAATGTTAAAAATAATGTTTTAACATCAGAGCAAAGTTTACGCAATTTTTATTGATTTATTTATTTATTGCAGGGTTTCGCCTCTGCAGAAGTCTGAGGTGGTTGAGATGGTGAAGAAACAGGTGAAAGTGATCACTCTGGCCATTGGCGATGGAGCCAATGATGTGGGCATGATCCAGACTGCCCATGTGGGTGTTGGCATCTCTGGAAATGAAGGACTACAGGCTGCCAACTCATCAGACTACTCTATTGCACAGGTGAGAAACCATCAAATTACACTTGTAAAAATATATATATATATATAGAAGAATTATATACTATATATATATATATATATAATATATAATTCTTCTAAACCTGAAGCAAGTGTCTGTTCTTTATTTAAACTAACACTTCTGTCTCATGTCACTACTATTTGACTCCCAGAAAATGAATCTGGTTCTAGATTATGAATCTAGGTTGAAAAGTTAAAACCTGTGGCTCGTAGATTCTGCAGTATGAGATACCAAAACAGGTCGGTCTGGTCGGTTTACATAGCTGGGGTGTTCTCTTACTCAAACCCCTGCTAACGGTGAAATGAGACCTGTCCTTCTTATGTAAACTTAATTAAAAGATGTTTTGTAATTCACAGATTTTGATACAGCATAATCTTCATTGTGCGTTTAGCAAAAGAAGAGCTCAAGTATCATGGATCGCTGTCAACATCGCTCTCTATCTCTTTCCCTTGTTTCACAATGTTTTGTGCCATTCATGGAAACATCCCTCCTCACACTTGTTTTTCTATACTGCCCCGAGCAGTCCATTCACTGGCCTCTTGCATCGGATTACTCAAGAAAGCATCTTGTCTTTTCTTAAGTGCCTCCGTCATATTGTTGGTAGAAACGGGTGGAGGTGCTGGGGAATGCGGATAGGTTCATAGAAAGTCATTTGAACTGCCTTCCAGCAAAATGGCTCATATGTGATATGCTGGATCAGACGCCAAACTTTTATGTACACTACTGTCAGCTAGTATGCATACATCATCTTCAAGGCTTTTCACAATGTTGCTTCTCATCAATTGTTAAACTAGATGAAGATCTATCTGCTATTCATATATACAGAGTATGTACGTGTATGTGTGTGTGTGTGTATATATATATATATATATATGAAGAGTTCAGATGCAAAAGCCTCTAAATGCCATTTGAAATTTTCTTCTTTAATGATGATTTTTATCAAACTGGCAATGATAATTACCTATTAATTGTTATTTAAGTGAAATTACTGAACTTAAATATACAAGTTTGATAAAAATCATCATTAAAGGAGAAAATTTCAAATGGCATTTAGAGGCTTTTGCATCTGAACTCTTCATATACAAAGTATATATATATATATACACAGATATGCACGCTGCCCTGGAAAAATAAGTTGCTGTTTGGATTTTAATGGCAAATGCTTAAGAATCTATGATTGGATCATTATTGCAGTAATTATTGTGTGTCTAGCATGTTATGTGTTTGGCAACCGTTCTTTTTAACCCTAATTGATGGTGTGTGTACCATTTCAGTTCCTAAACAACCATGTAGAAATACACATCATGGCCATATTCCAGGATGACAATGTCAAGATTCATCAGGCTCAAATTGTGAAAGAATGGTTGGGAGGGAGTCCAGACCTTACATTGATTGAATGTCTTTGGGATGTGCTGGAGTAGACTTTAGAGAGTGCTTGAGTTTGCATTTTCAATACAAGATATTGACCAAAAATGAATGCACCTCTTGATAGAAAAATAATTGTTGTGATGTTATTTCCAGGATGTATGTATGTAATCTCAGAACGGAGCTCTTTCACAGACTACTGGTGCTCCACCATCACTGCTGTATTACAGTAATTTGTTGAACAGTGTGTCTTTAGTTTTGTTTGAGGTGTTCTTTTGAAGATATGATTATATTAGATTTATGTGCAGTTCTTTATACTGTGCTTCAACCCCACATCAGGCCCTTCTAAAGATCAGCAGAATTTAAGACTCCACTGTTGTCTGTCTGTCATCAACTCGCTCTCCTCACATCCAGAGGTCAAACACCCCCTGTGCCCCTCAAAAGCCCTCCGTACCCCTTACATTCCACCCTGCCGTTCCCGCCTTCATCACCCAGCAGTTTGTTTTACAGGAATGATGTTTATAGCATTGTCACGTTCATGGTGCTCTTGAGGAAATATAACATGGCATCCCTAGATCATTGATAGCGCCTTTGATCATGTTTACATGGAACACATTACTTGTTTACACTGTCATGGAGGGTCCAGTAAACCAGTAATCTTGAGCACCTGTACGAGTTCATCTGTTTGCATTTCACATTTATGTCTGCAATAGATTATAGTGAGTGTGTTTAACACGCACAAACTTACATCCGTTTACACTTTGCAACTGATAACATGTCAGTTGCGTTCTTTTATTGGTTCAATTTCAGAAACTAAATTTTTAGGGGGGCTTATTTAGTGAGCAAAGCACATCTCTGCACTGTAAAAAATATTTTCAAGATTTGTTATCACAACATATTTTCTTTTGTCAAATCAACTTTATAATAATTTATTTAGTTGAGATAACTTATTATTTTGAGTTTCTGATGATTAAATTAAACTCAATCAATTAAATTAAACTTAAAGTTCAATCAACTTAAAATTTTAAGGCAACCCAGATTACTTACTTTTTTAAGTTAAACCAACAATATTTTTTTTTTACAGTGTAGTAATCACAACATTTTTTCTTTTGTCAAATCAACTTAAATAATTTATTTAGCTCAGATAACATATAATTTTGAGTTTCTGATGGTTTCCTTCATTGTATTAACTCACTTTTTCCAGTTCAATGAACTTAAAATTTTAAGGCAACCAGTTTACTTACTTTTTTAAGTTAAACCATCAATATTTTTTTTTTACAGTGTTTAGATTTTGACGATTTTATGAATTTTCTGCTTACTATTGTTTTGCATGTAAAATCATGCAGTGTTCGCTCTCTCTCCACCTAAGCAGACTTGTGCTGTGAAGCAAAAGTGGCGTTTTGGCCTTTTGGCATGTGGTGTGCTAAATATAAGCATTTATGAAGCAACATTATAAACTGGAGTGATTACTCATTTACTGTTTGAAAAAAGACATCTTTCTGGCTTGGTGAAAGTTAAACACTGTGACGGCAACACAAACAGCACTTTATATTCAGTAAATCTGAAATCAGAATCCAGATGATTTAAGTAGTTTGTATCTACAGTTTGGGTGTAGGGTTTCGTTCTGATTAGATTACGTACCATTTGAATCTAAATTTTTCTTTCTTAGATTTCATGACGAGGAGATTTACAATCATTTTCATTGACCAGCAGGTCAAGCTAATAAACTTTTTATTATATGAGGCAGATTTAAAAAAAAAAATACTTGGTGTAGTAACCCAAAAATCACTTTATTTTCTTTTAAAGCTGCAAAAGCTTTTCTCTATTCCTCTGCTTTTCAGCAACTAACAAAGTCTTACAAGACAGATTGTTGCTGGAATATGGGTGAGAGTGTTAGTCTTTTCCCTGAACTCCAGGCTTCCTGTTGCCCAGCATGGAAGATTGTCTCTTTATTTTCGAATCCAAAAGAGCTTTCTGTGTTGGCTGGGGAACTGCAGATCTTGTGTAAACGATAGGCCTTAATGAACTTATCTCTGTCCTCCCTTCTCTCTCGCAGTTCAAGTACTTGAAGAATCTTCTGCTGGTTCACGGTGCTTGGAATTACAACCGCGTTGCCAAGTGCATCCTGTATTGCTTTTACAAGAACATTGTGCTGTACATCATTGAGGTAAGAAAGTATGAAATAAAGTTGATTTTCAACTGTCTACTTCACTCATGTTGTTTCAACACTCATGCAACATACAAAATGGATGACTAAGCAGCACCATGCCTGTTATTGTATTAACCATTAATGCCTATTTCAAGGAGACTGAATGACCTCTCTTTGATGAAATTAACTGACATTGAATGCATGTCGGTAGCGGAAAGTCTCCGTCCTGCTGTAGGAATGCGGGGTCTGTCGATGTGAAGCCCACAGGCCATCCATCTGTGATTAGTATTTGACAGTTTCCAGGCCTGGTGCTGATAGCCGGTTCAGAGACCTGACCTGACAAGTTAAAGGGCTGCTATCAGCACCAGCTTTATCATGAGAGGTGTTTGGCAGTTTTGATCTAGAACACATTTGTTTTAGGAGACATTACACCTTGAGGACAATCTTTAGGTTTCCTCGAGCCAAAAGAAGAGATACTAGTAGACTAACGGTCTGGAAGCAACATTAGACACTTTAAGTCTCTTTATTTAATGTCACAGGTCTCTGAAATGCATTAAATGGACCTTTGCTCATGCTAGCAGGCAAAATGTAAAGCATATGACCAGATGTAAACATCTTATGTTCCATTTTCCTTGGTGGTGTTGGCTAATGAGTTTGAAAATCATAATTACAACATGATTTGGGCTTGATTATTGCTGAGCAATTAATGGACAAATACAAGACACTTTTTAATCTCTAATGCTACACTGTAAAACATATTTTCAAGATTTGTTATCACAACATATTTTCTTTTGTCAAATCAACTTAAATAATTTATTTAGTTCAGATAACATATCATTTTGAGTTTCTGATGATTAAATCATTCTCCTTCATTGTATTAACTCACTTTTTCCAGTTCAATGAACTTGAAAATTTAAAGCAACCAGGTCACCTACTTTTTTAAGTTAAACCATCAATATTTTTTTACAGTTTACCAAGTAAAGAGTAAAGCATTCACATTAGCTGTGCAGTTGATGCTTTATCCATGCATTTTATCATTCTTGCAACTCACTAAGATTTGAAACATGCCAACGCCAGTATTCATGAGCTACAATCCCAGCAGAAACATGAGTACTTGAAAAATCTGTCTTTTTCCCCCTCTGCCCTGTTGCTTTTGTGTGCCATTTGACCCATGGACCCCTTTCCCTTCATCTTGATTTTGTTTTATGGGCTGTGGTTAATCTCTGAAAAAGCCCCTTAGATTTCTCTGTGTTGGCATCCAGTGCTGCTGTAGATTGTGAGAACAAGAATGAGGAGATGAATCAGGACTTTTCTTCTGCCCTCACTGAATGATACAGGCTTTTTCCTGTTTACACACTTCTGTGCTGCTTAGATGTGGGAAGCTGCTGTGGTCTTTGTTCTTAAATGTAGTGAAGTCATGATGCTTTTTTCCTTTATTTTAAAATTCAGTGGATTGAAACCTGTGAGAATCTCTGAGCCCTGTTGCTGTTAGCAATTATCACTCAATGAATATGATATTTTAAAAAATTTTTGTACAATTCGTGCAGGGTGGCTTTCGTGTACTTTTCTTTTGGGTTTTGCCGTGGGGTTGGTGTATTGTGTTCCACAATGAAAGTTCCCCTTGAACACAAACATTTCTGACTGTGATCGCATTTCGCCCTTGCTCATCAATCAAGAAACAAGCATCGCTTTCCTTCTCTTTTTTTTTTTTCTTCATTTGCATAAGAAGTGGCACAGGAACAGCTAAAATGGCCTTACCCGAACACACCCTCCAAATACTTCTAGCCACTTTTCCTTTTTGTCCTTTTCTCTTTAAGCTCTGCTTTTGAATCTCCTAGAGAACTGAAAAGCACCCAGCTCCTGGAGGTGAATGTATCTCCTTCTCAACCCATCTTTTGTTATGAGCAGAAAATGCACTCCCCTTCTTCATAAGGGGCTTTTTTAATATAATAGGCCAAAGCTTTACTGTTTCCTTGCCTCATACCAAAAACACCTCTGTTTTGTAAGGTCCTGACATTCTAGACACTTGCTTCCCAAGGCTCGGTAAAAGGGATACATTTGTCAGCCTAATAGGTTTACATTTTAGTCTGTGAAGACTTTTTTTCATCTAATTTTTTCCAGGTTTTTACCTTATGAAAGTGAAATAAGGATGTTAGCCATTTTAGCCTTCTCAACATGTGGTTATATGTGCGCATCTTAGATTTCTTTTAACCATACAGTGTTGAAGTCCTAAATGCTTTATTACAGTACTTTTACCAAGGGTTGTCTACCTGCCGAATTCAAAACAAACAAAGACGTCATTTCAAGGTTTCATAGCTTCATTTCTGTCACAGAATCGATTTCAAAATGTTACCAGAAATTTCTTGAAGGGGTCCTATTATGCCCTTTTATGAAGTCTTGATTTGGTTTTTGGGGTGAACTAGAATATGTTTTCATGCTTGATTGTTCAAAAAACTAATTATTTTCCAAACGCCGATTTCGATGAAGCCTTCCGAAATACGAAATGTGCTGTGATTGATTAGCTGGCCAAGGGTGTTATTATTGTCACCGCTTAGTGTCCCACCATAACTGAGTTCTTTTTAGTGTACATATTAAGGTTATTTCATACCATTTTGAGCCCGATTCTGACCTTGACGTGTAGAACGGTTTTCATGCACAGACTTTGCAAGAACGGATTTCACCAGAAATTTCAGAGTGGTATGTTTTTTTTTGTTTGTTTTTTGGTATGTAATTTTCTTATACATTATAGATACGATGTTATCCACCATTTAATTGTGATATTTGTTGGAAAATTAGGTAATACAAGCAGTAATCGATCCAAAACCATGGTTAATTTTCCTAAGGAATGGTGAACCGTATTACAAAAGCAAGAGCTTACAAAAGCAACAGAAAACAAGCTGTTCTCCATAAAATGTGCAGTGCACAGATAAACGTTGGAGTTATAATGTTCAGGAACAATGTTTAAAATAAATTAACCACTCTAAGGCCGTGTGTCAACTAAAACGTTTTTAGCCAGCTGAAAACGCCAGACGCTCTGCTGAAGACACCGTGCTTTGTGGGCTTGAGAGTGCTTTGGCAGCGCAGCGTTTTTTTCCGTTGACACATTTCGTTGCTATGATACAGAATAGGTAGCACAGTTTACTTGGAACTGATTTCACAGATAATTTGTTTCATACCAAAAAAATATTTTTCATCCATTTTGTTCGGTTAGCTCTTCTGGTTGATGTTGTTGTATAGAAAGAATGTTGTGACCAGTGGTGGAGGAAGTACTGAATCTCAGTACTTAAGTAAAAGTACAAATACCCAGATAAATATTTACTTTAGTAAAAGTAGAAGTAACACAATGACAACCATACTTAAGTAAAAAGTACTTTATTTTAAATGTACTTTAAGTATTAAAAGTAAAAGTACTTGCATAACAATTTATTATCTTAATGTCTATTTTCTAATGATTAATAAAACATTTAATTCTAACTCATTCAACCTAGCCTACTCCTATAATGATGTTCAATAATGATGGAAAAAAATGTCACCATTTCTGAAACAAGCTTGCAATTAGGCAATATACACATCATGCTTATCCTTACTATATGTTAATAACTATGTTTGGCAGTAAACGAGATTAATTTATGGTGTAATTCTGAACCTCTTGGCTTGCCATAATCCTACCCAAACCAAACATATATTACACACGGTGTGTTTCCTATGCACGTAAAAACAAATTTTCGCGTATGAGTTGCACGATAAACACACTGCGTGTGAGACGCATTTAGTGTGACCGGGTTGATACTGTATCTATGGCAACCAAACGTCACTGGTGAGACAAACGTGCAACGAACGGACGGTCAGATTACGTTTTGGCAGGGGAAAAACTGATCAGAAAATGTAACGAAAATGTAACAGAAGTTGTAGAAATGTAGTGGAGTAGAAAGTATAATAATTGCTGCAAAATGTAACGAAGTAAAAGTAAAAAGCAGGCACTATTTATTGTACTTAAGTAAAGTAAAGATACGTGAAAAATGTACTTAAGTAAAGTAACGAAGTATTTGTACTTCGTTACATTCCACCACTGGTTGTGACAGTTGGTCGGTGTGGGATTAGTCCCGCCCCTCCACTGTGATTGGACAGTTGGGTAAAAAGTGACAGTGACGATCACTGCGTTTTAACATAAAAAACATAAAAAAATCTTACAGACCACAAACTTTTAAACAGTAGTGTATCTGGGTGGTGTGCTTATGAATTGTGTTCAGACAGTTCAAATCAGTTTCTTGGTTTCATTTCGGTTAGTATTATCTCTAAAGGCCAATTAATACTTCTGCGTAGGGTGCGCGCAGCAGGTATGACGTAGCATACGCACAGACGCGTACCATACCGCATACCCTTCGCCGTAGCCTGACGCACACGTCCTCAAATATAACTACACATCGCGACGACGCCGACAGCAAGATCTGTGATTGGTCGGCTTGGTAGCATCGCATTTCCTCCTACGCATTTCCGCACGTACCATCTCCTCGGATGTCTTCTCTCATTTCTGCCTTTTAGTTTTAGTAATTTCACTAAAATTAACTGTTTTTCCACCTCAATAAGCTTCAACTCCAACATGATCCGCTCTCTTTCAGTCCCCATTGCTTGTAGTAACCTAGCCGTGAGGAACCTAAACACAGTGGAACATTAAAACCCTCCGCCGCCAACTAGTGTTTCGGAGCAGCACTGCAGAGCAACCAAGACCTGAACGCAGAAGTATAAATGTACACTACGGCGTACCCTCGACGCAGAAGTATAAATTGGCCTTAAGCTCCCTTAGCTGTCTATGTGGGCAGTAGACTGCACGAAACTCACTAGGTTTTGGAACAGAGTTCTAGAGTGGTTTGTATTATACCATATGTAACCACACCATGGCACATGATCTTACTTGCATTGTCAGACAAATACTGAACGTTTAGGTTAGCTTAAACATTTGACATGCTGGTTTGTTTAGTCCCTGGTTTGTGGTCTTACATTCTTTCAACATGAGCAAA